AGGCGGGCCGCGGCGGCGCGGCGCGGCCCGCCTGCCGCGGCCTCCGGCTGAGACGGCTCGGTTCCGGCGCATCAGCGGCGTCTCCTGTCGCCGCCGCTTTACATAGTTTACGGTGACGACGCTCATCCAGTAATGCGGCCGGGCCTCGCTTTGAGCCGCCGCCGTGGGCCGCCGCCGGTCCCCCGGCGCCGCGCACGGACGCTGTTTGAGTTGGTGCCAGTTGGTCGGCGTTCTTGTGTCAGTTTAGCGAGCGCGGCTCGGCTGTCCGGGTCCTAAGTTTGCGGGCCGATGGCGCGCCGTGCTCGGTCGGATTGAAGACGATCGGCGTTTTTTTTTGCCTCCGGCTGCGTCGCGCCGGTGCCGACGGGAGCCGACCGGCCGGGTGGGCCGGTTGAAGAGGCGGTCGGGTTCGGCCTGACGGCTGCGTCGCGCCGGTGCCGATGGGAGCCGACCGGTCGGGTGGGCCGGTTGAAGAGGCGGTCGGGTTCGGCCTGACGGCTGCGTCGCGCCGGCGCCGACGGGAGCCGACCGGTCGGGTGGGCCGGTTGAAGAGGCGGTAGGGTTCGGCCTGACGGCTGCGTTTTCCGGAACGCCGGGAACTCCCGGGAGGGGCGGCGCGACGCCGGGAGCGCCGGAGGCAGGCTGCTCCCTCTGCTGAGCAACTTAACTCGACGGCTCGGCTTCTTGGCCACTGGGACTGCCGCTCGGCCGACCAACTTTGGCACAAGTCCGGGGGAGGCAGCTGCTCATTTGTTAACAGGGTCGGCCGACAATGGGCCGACAATCCGTCATAGTCACTCCTCGGTACATACAGTCTATATGCAGTTAAAACCGTTAATACGAACGAGGTGATCTGACGTATTGTTGCGCTTCGTCTTCAGCTCTCTCTTCGATGCCGCTGATGATACAAGTTCTGATTAATCCATTTTGCCTCATAAACATTTCAATGCGGGCGTTCACGTGTGATCGCAAGAGGATTCAGGAGATCTGACACGGGACAACAGTTTGGGGAATAAATCAACTTGTTTTAGGGCGCCTTTTCCATGTGACGCCAGAGACGTGACGTATTTGTCAGAAGCCGCGGAGGTGTTTGTCCGCCCCCGCTCTCCCATGCGACGAAACCCGTGTGTGACGCGCGAAGAGATATTCTGGTACTGTCTGGGGATGGATGATAACCCACGGCCGTCTGAAGGTACGCATTGGAGCATTAGCGCATGATCCATAAGCAGTGTCGGATGAATTATCACCTCTTGGGTGTTCTCCTCAGCCCCTCAAAATAACATTCAGTTAGCGCTCTTGTCACGTGGCTAATGGTGTACGGTGCACGTCCAGTAATTTGCAAATCACTAAAACCCCGTTTGGGACCACTGGCACGGGTCCACGTGCCCTGCAGCGCCCGTAATGACAGTCGTACGGCTTCGAAACCGACATCACGTGGAAGATCGTTCGCATGTGCAGCAGCAGTGTACCATAGCTCTTGTAAATGCCAGGGGCCAATCTAATTAAGGACAGGTTAAACCAACTTACACGAACTTTATACTCCTGACGTGTTACTTGACCTATTGTGACCTATGTTAACCTTTCCGACAGTTCTTTTGATACCGTCAGGTTTAATGAGCAGTTCATCACCAACGGGCCACATCAATCACTTCTGTTCCGTCGACAAGCGGGGTCACCTAAAAGCCTTTGGTGGCCAGATTTTGCCCCAAGCATCGATATATTTTGTTGGTGTTGTACATTGTTCGCTGTAACTTTTGATGACGTATTAATGGCCGAGAACAACACTGGGGTGGCCGAGGACCTTCCAAAGAGGAACACGGATTCACCAATGTCTCGTTGTAAGTGGACCGAACTGGACTTTTGTTGTCCAAGAGATACAAAAGTTCACCAATGTCTCATTGCTGTAAGTGGACCGAACGGGACTTACGTTGCCAGGAGATACAAAGGTTCATCAATGTCTCGTTGTTGTAAGTGGACCGAACTGGACTTATGTTGGCAAGAGATGCAAGGTTCATCAACGTCTCGTTTGTAAGTGAACCGAACGGGACTTACGTTAGTGGTATGCTGTCACCCTATATTGTGTGATTAACATTGATAAGCATGAAGCCCAGTCAGCTAATTGTTGCTCCAAACAAGTGGAACATCGTATTGCTGCTTGTAGAGGCACAGACAGCCATGTGAACCTTCACCTTTGTCATGTCTCACTGACCCGGCAAAACAGCAGCATCAACGTTCTGCCGAAACGTGTCCAGCTGATGTTTGAAGTGCGTTAAAAAGCTGCTGGACCCACCTGAAACAGTTCTTGAGCTATTTCTGGAAATCGGATCTTTATAATGGCTTTACTCCACCGGTGGCCATGCGTTCAAGAAGTTCTTCCAAGCATATTTGAAATTTTACCTGCTGTGTTACGTACTTGACAAGTTATTTTTCCATCGTCGAACGCTGAGATGCACAGACCCAGCGCATGTGCGCTTTTTGGCGAATGCTGTCACTCTGTGATCAGAGGAGCGGTGGACTGAGTTTCTGAGCCCGTCGTTTCGGCGCCTCTGCTGAGCTTGGAGCTGTGCAGGCTTTTGGCTGGCATCGTGACGTCCTCATTGCACGCCCTAATCGCCGCATGTTTGAGGTGTGGCGCTGGATGGCGTGCGTCGCGTTATCTCCCGGCCGCGGCCCCGGGCACCTCGCGCTGCCGACCGGTCGCCTGTGGCGCCGCCTAGCGGTGGAGTGCGGCGGCGCCGACGCGCCGGCGAGGACAAGCACCCTCTGGGTCAGCTGGGCGCGACAGGACGGCTCTCGACAGGCGGTGACACGGACGGCAGGGCGGGCGGCGCTGGCCGGCGTGCCGGCGACGGCCACGGCCGCCCGCCGCCGGCCCGGCCGGGCAGCTGTCGCTGGACGCCGTCTCCGCTGGCACGGTCGGATGATGGCACTCTCCGATGATGGCACGCTCCAGTGATGGTAGGCTCCGACGATGGCACGGGGCTGGGTGCCGTATGGCTGTCGCGTTCATACGTCCTTAATGTGCGCACTACAAGATCCATGGGAAGTTTCGAACGTGCTCTGGTCCGAGATGCGAAAAGTTTCTCAAACGATGGCCGAAGATTATATATGAAAGCAGAGGAGAAAATCATATATGCCAATCTTTTGGTGATCATAGGTCAGTTCATGCTAAATCAAATAAGGTGCGGCAAAAGTTCATTCGTAACGTCAGCGTGTGTATTCGCGCTTAGCTCACATATGAAGGCAGAACAATATGATAAACGCCAATTTATGTGCTATGGAAGCATCTGCGATCAACCCTTTGGGGAGGGGGGACTCTCTCCCGTTCCCTGGATGCGCATTGCGCATCAATGCAGCCGTGCTGCGCGTTGTTGTACTCGTGTTTATTGCTCTGCTGGGCTGGGCCGAGCCCAGTGCCGGCTGACAGATAGCGGGAGCTGGCGATGACTGACGAGGGGATGTGTCAGCACGGCCAGGCGGGATGGCCCAGGTGGACGGGGAGCACAGACTCACCTCGTCACATGTGACGAGACGGACGTGCTCTGATGCTCGATTTTCCTGGAAGCCAAACTGAGAGGGAGTTGCTGCGATCTTGCGGTCGTTTCCTTCCACTAGATTCGCTGTAAGCGGCACCGATTCGCGTAATCGATGTAATGATGTAATAATAATAATAACTCCATGCTGCTGTTGGCCGGACAGGGGATGACTTGTGAGCTGCACGGATGTGTTCATTTGAATCACGTCACCGCGATATGGTGTCATCATCTTTAAATCTCAGGACGCCGAATGTCAGCAGCTCTCAGCTGGAGCCGGTGCCATGTTGGCATCGGTTCACATTGCCAGGAGTTACCGCGCAACTCCACGCACTTCTTGTCTTTCGTCAATTAGCGGAGGCGATCGATTGACATATGTTAGGGCCATTGTTTTATCGTGAGATATTACACAATATCGTTCTCTGTGACCAGTTTTGATGCGGACTGGAGCTCCTGCTCTGGGACTGGAGAGTAACGTCGAGGGTCATCCGGGCGGCCACAAGCTCCCCGCTCCGGCGATGGTCGCCGGGGGGCTGAAGCGTGCGGGCTGCTGAGGCTATAGGGCACCTCACTGTCTCAGTCCGGATGGCGATGCTGGGCTGAAGCGTACGGGCTGCTGAGGCTATAGGGCACCTCACTGTTTCAGTCCGGGTGGCGATGTTAGCGGCCAGTCTTTGTGACATGTTTGTTTGTGTGCGTTCGGATGGGATTTGTGCGTATCACTGAGTAGCTGCTGTAGACGCTCAATCACGTCGCCTTTTTTCCCGGACGAAAATGTAGTCGAGTGCAGATTCCAAACAGACTGGCTCTGGCAGCGAGCAGTGCGGATTCCAAACAGACTGGCTCTGGCAGCGAACAGTGCGGATTCCAAACAAACTGACTCTGGCAGCGAGCAGTGCGGATTCCAAACAGACTGGCTCTGGCAGCGAGCAGTGCGGATTCCAAACAGACTGGCTCTGGCAGCGAGCAATCTAAATCATCAGCCGGCTGGCGGCGGGTCTCAGCAGCGACGGCTTTCCTGTGCGCGGCATGGGTAACACTGTATTCGTATTCTGGACTCCGCCGTGCCCACCCCCCTGCACCGATCAAAGTCAGTCGCCCTGAAGCCTGGCTCTGTACTGCTCGCGATAGACATGGTGCCGGGCCGCCGCTTGGAGGTCCCTGCAGGCAAATTGCTGCCGACGCCCGGTCGCATTCCTGAGCTGATTGGCGCTGTTGGCGCAATGGCGCCCGTAATTAGCCCGAAGGCTCGAAGACCCGCAGCTGCGACGGCGGCGGCGGTAACCGGCCGTGCCAGGGAGAGGACCGGGGCGACGCGGCGCCACCCTCCGCTCGCGGCTGGCTGGGCTTGGCGCGGCCACCCGCGCTGCCAGTGGTGGCAGCCGCGTGGCGCCTGGTGGCGCTGCCCGGCCGCGGCGGCCGTCGGTCGGCCACCGAGCCTCACCTCGCCTGATCCGACCTCTGCAGGTGGAGCGGCGCATGGTGGTGCCGCTGGACGAGCGCTACGAGATGAAGGACCTGTACCCGAACACGCTGTACTACGTGTGGGTGGCGGCCGTCTCTGGCAGAGGCGAGGGTGCTGCCACGCCGGCCATCCCGTTCCGCACCGAGGAGTACGGTAATTGTTGGGGCCGGGGCGGGGCGGCTTTGCATTCGAGCACCGCGGAATGATCAGCACCGTGCACTCACACCATGTCGTTGTCTTGCGTGCACAGCACTCACTTTATATATATATATATATATATATATATATATATATATATATATATATATATATATTGCACCTCACGTCGTATCTGGCACTGACGGACGTCCGATCGCCGTCTCACGTACAGTTCTGGCTGTTTTCCGTACGGATGTTTGGTTGGCGTGGCTCCGGCTGCGCCGGCTCGCGGCCTCCGCCGGCTGGGCCGGCTGAGATGGTGTTCGGTGAGCGTAGGCCGATGCAGCTCGAGCCACACCCATTTCATTGCTGAGCTGGGAGCTGGTCGGGCGGTCGTGGCGGCGACTCAAAATTGATTGGGGAGATTGTCCAAAATGTCTTGATATCACCCGGCATAGTTTCGTTCATTTATTTCTGACCCGTCTTAAGGAATTTCCTGAACTAAAGTTTCGTTGGGCTAAAATATCTTTCAGTTTTGTAGCCAGTTTTTTTTTGGGGGGGTGGGGCACTAAACCACTAGAAATAGCTACAAGACTAGCCACTAGGACGGCATTCCTGTTTTTGCAAGCGTTTTGAGCATTTCAGGAAACGCGCAGCCGTACTTCACGATGTTGCGAAAAGGATTTCTGAGTCCCTGTCCGTACCGGTCCTCCCACTGTCAGACGCCACGCTCACTGACCGCCGTCTTCGGTCTTGGCGTCTGTGAGCACCGTCCCAGCACCATTGGCTGGCCTTCCAGTTTTCAAAAGAGCGCTATACGAGCCCGCTTTTCCTGTAATTGTGACGTCACCCCGCGTCGCTCGTCGGCCAAGAGACCTACCATCGCCCGAGGCGGCGAGAGGATCAGAGCATGCCCGTCTCCAACAGACAGTGGACAGAGATGCGAGGACTCGAAATTCCCAAACAGAAATTTACGCAAGTAAGGCAATGTTTTGCCTGCCCGCCGAATTCTGGTCGAGTTTCGCAGCAGCTGCTTGCTGGCTCAGCTCATGCCGGCGCGCTGCTGCCATCTCTCGGGTGATGGCCGAACCAGCGCCGCGCGACCGCCCGACTGCTCTGTCTGCCGTTCCGTTCAACATGGCGTGCCGTTTGATTTCGACACACGCGAGTTCGCTGCCTTTTGGTTGAGTTGGACCCGCCGCCTGGAGCCGCCGGCGGCCGCGCGGCCGCCGGCGGGCGATGGCTGGTGCGCATGCGCAGTGTGGTGTGGTGCCGCAGTGCCGGGCGGGGCGCCGCGGGCGGTGCGCGTGCACGCGCTGGATTCGCGTTCGCTGCTGGTCTCCTGGCTGCCGCCGCCGGCGGACCTGCAGAACGGTGCCATCCGCTACTACAAGATCTTCTTCAAGCGCTCGGGCCAGAACGACTCAGACGCGGTCGAGATCAAGCTGAAAGACCCGTCGCAGCGCAACTTCACGGTGGACGAGCTGCGCAAGTACACCGAGTATTCCATCAGTGTGCTGGCCGGCACGCTGGTGGGCGACGGGCCGCAGAGCCACCCGGTCCTGGCACGCACCGAAGAGGACGGTACGTAGGGGCGACGCCAGCGGGGGAGAGGGTCGGGGCCAGTCGGTGGGGACGGCTGGACGACAGGGGCCTACTGGATGGGGACGCCGAGCTGTGTGGAGGGTGCTTTGGCCGGGGCCGGCTGTGGAGGGACCGTTACACGCCCGCTAACAAGTGTCCGTTGTGTCGTCGGAGTTCTGAAGGGGTTTGGCTGGCCATGGCTCGGCCTGTCTTTGGTACCGAGAGCTCTGCGGGATGTAAGGGAGTGATCGTTTTGCAGCCGGAGTATTTATTTTCCCACATGAAAGGTGTTTCAAGAAGCTAGCTCACTGGTAGGGTTGAATATAGGTGATATTATCGGCGTGTATTATCGAGTTTTTTGGCCTTCGATACCCTTATTGTTTAACCTATAGACATACTGATGTGTTGTGAAATGATTGTGTTTGTGTTTCAACCTCAGATGGAACATATGCACTTGCCGCTAAAGGGACTGCGCTTGTTGAAAAAACATGCTTTGGTTCAACATGTAGAATCTTGCGAAATACTGTTTTGGTTCCTTTTGGTATCTTGAATGCCAAATGAATCTTAGATTTTCTCTCGGTCGTGAGTCGTCTCTTTACGCTGCTATTCTGCAAATTTGTGTTCTTGGCATGTTCCCATGGTGGGCGATAACACACAATGATGATTTCATTGATGTAGCATTTTAGGGTATAGCTGCACTGTTGAAGGCGAAGTGCATTAGTTACAGTATTTCACGCATTCTAAAATTCGTTGAGGCTGATAGACGTATTTTGAAGAGATAACTTTTTACTCTTCGTTGGACGGTTAATATACAGAGTTTATTTATTTCCGTTTGAACCAGAATCGGACCCTATCGGACGACACAATGGTAAATATCCAGGCAAAGACTGGGAGCACGACTTCGCGAGGGAATGACCAAATTTGGTAGTTGTCGAACCGAACAGCTTAATGGCCGTGTGGCGTTATTTATGGTGAACCCCGGCGCCGCGAGACAGCGGGGTGCCAACCGTTATTGATGGACTGGCCTGGCATGTTCTCGCGATAGCCCCGCCGGTCTCAGCATATCGGGCTTCGTTTCATTTTAAAACTCTCCGATGCAGACTTGACACAATTCGTATTGCATCAGCCCCGTGCAGTGAAGCAATGGGCCATTCATGTCTGATCAGGCCTTCGCAAACGGCGTGGCCGGAGAACGGGCACCACTGGCGGCCATCGCCCCGAGCCATTGGACTACGAGCGTATCATTCCTTCGGCTATTGTGCCAGGAAACATTGCTCATGGCTAAAGCGACCAAATTCGCCCCGTGCTGCGCAGGGGAAGGTCTGAACGTTTGATGTTTCTCGAGTCGACTTAAAAGAAATTTGATGCGTAGTGTGTTGGGAATGAACTGCTGGTATTTGGTCAAACTGCGTTTTGAGACAGTATTTCGCGGCAATTGACCTTTCTATGTAGCATCGCGAATCCGGGTACGGGCTGAGATGTCCTTCTTTCTCGCTCTTTTTGGTGTTCTGTCTCTTCATCTGTCACTAACAACTCTTTGTGACCTAGCGCATAGTTTTATTGCATATTTCAAGCACGCGAACGTACGTAATCGTAAATGGGTACCCTCTTCAGCCGAGGAGTGGACTTGGAGAGGTCAGAGCACGGCAAGACGTCGAATGAACTCACATGGTCGTTTTGAGTCGCTTTTAGCTTCAGACACGAAAAAAAAACCCGGCTCCGGTCAGGTGAACCTGGATCAAATAGATACTATTCGAAGCAACAAACCCCCTAAGAATTTAGATGAAGGCGTGGCACCCTGTTTGCAGAGACTTGCGATATAGATTCCTTATTCACAACACTTCATGTTGTAGGTGCCGGGAACACTCAGTTTGTCATCTACCGATACATTGCGTTGGTCTGGCCGATGTGGACGTGCTCACACTCCTGGATCGCTATCGTTTGATTCCAGGCGGCCGTGGCCACGTGCGCCTGGTCGACCTGACCGGCTAGAATGCCAACTACCGTGCTGGGCTCATTTCTGATGCGGCACCGTCGGGCGCTGTGGCCAGTCAAAGCTAGGGCAGACGTGGTTTGCTACCGCTGTTGTTTGCCGAGAAAGTGTAGCCATGGGCCGTGCCATGGTGCTTGGGGATCCTGTTGAACAGGAGGTGGCTGGGGATAACTGGCTGTGCGTTCTGTGTAGCGGGCGGTTCGCTATGATTCGTCACGCAAAAGAGCCCCGGACTTGAGACAGTTCCCAAAGGTGGGCAGTGTGCGATCTGCGCGCTGTGAGAAGTGTCACTAAGCATTACCCATCTTCAAGAAGGGCTATGGGCTGTAGCAAATGTTTGGAATGTTGACTTAGGTCACAGAGATGTGAAGGAAGCCTCATGAAGCATGCGACAAGTGCTGAAGCGACCGTTCTAACGAAATTAGCTGGTCTGTGTATCAGCAGCGCGCTTTGCGCCCTGACGTTTATGAAGGGGTTTGCTCTGTTTCTTCAGTAGGCCTGTCGTAGACATCACTTGACACTCCTTGTGCATGGTCTTCTTTCACTGGGCCCTCTGGTCTGTAGCTCTCAGTCGTCACCAATTTTGACATCCCGCCACTATTTTTGGGGCACCGGTGCGGTCCCCGACCCATTTTGCGCGCATCGAGGGCCGGGTAATTTTTGCTTGTCGTTTGTTTTTTGGTCAACATGGTGTGCGGTGATTTTATATCTGGCCTCTCTTTCTCTGTTTCTCTCTCCTCTCCTCCCGTGACTGTGTGTGGTCCTCTATCTCTGAGAAGCCCGCAGTGAGTACTGAAGACTCGGTGGCCGCCAGCTCGGCCAGTCCGGACATGGATGTCGTCGCCAGATTCGGCCGCTTGCCATTGTCGTTAGCCGTTTGCATGGCCGGGTTCGGCCCTGGACGTTTTCCCTCATCACTTTGCGTAGATGGTAGCGATTCGATGTGGTGTCCGTGGATGTTGTGAAGCAGACCCTTGGCACTGGTAGCAGTTCCCCTCTACCGCCTCCGGGGAGGGGTCGGGGCCTGGGGGAGAAGCGGCGGAGAATGGGGCGAGCACATAAGTCAGCGTAGTCGCGGTCAGCCCATGTCAACAGTTCACCGCGCCGGCTGCCAATTCTCAATACTCAATTGGCATGCCTTTTGTCGCTCTCTTTCTCTCTGTTTAAACAATGACTCGAGCGTGTCTGTTGCCATATAGATAGCTGGGTGTCGTGTTCGTGTTTGCCATGGCGTTTTTCTCATAACTCAGGTGGCCTAGTCCTCCGCCAGTGAGCCGCGCTGTACAGACGCTGTTCCTTGCTAACGTAACGTCGGCTCCCATCGCCTCTGCTTGTGAATGATAAGGCGGGCGCTGTGTGCGGCAGCGCTGTGACAGCGCTTGGTCGGTGTCAGTGGCCGCGTGGCCGGTGTTGGGCGTGCTGTGTGTGTGCGGGGCTGGCGGCCGGACTGAGCTGAGCGCCGCTCCTACAGTGCCGGGCAAGCCGCGCAACCTGACCGCACGCGTGCTGAACTCGACGGCTGTCCGGCTCACCTGGTCGCCACCCAGGGACCACGAGCGCAACGGTCTCATCCTCGGGTACCAGGTCCACGTGCAAGAGTTGGGCACGGAGGTGAGGCGATCCGAGCGACGCCGGCCTCGTGCAGGCGGCCTGGTCTAGCGCCGGCGCCAGTCACCGGCCGCCTAGGGCCCAGTCCCGGGCCAGCCGCCGAAGCGGAGCCGCACCCAAGTGCGGCCAAGTGCTGTGATATTGGACTTAAAATCATGCCTCATGCACTTCACTCTGTAAAATGCGCAGCGCTTTATATGGTAGTTCAAGTCAGATATTGTGGAAAATTAGAGATTCAGAAAGAAGACACGAGACGAACAAATACGTAGTCAACAATATTGAACGAAGACGAGTGTAGCGTTATTTCCAGCAGCGAACACCTTCGCGACTGGAGAAATGTGCCCGGAGAGCGAGTCGGCATCGGCAAGCTCGCCTTAGCAATGAATTATCTATCCTAAAACTTGGCATTTTCTCTGTGTGCCACGTCATACACCGCTCTGCCAGGACTAGTTACACACACACACACACACACACACACACACACACACACACACACACACCACACACACACACACACACACACACACACACACACACACAACACACACACACACACACACACGCGCACGCGCACGCGCACGCGCACGCGCACGCGCACGCGCACGCGCACGCGCACGCGCACGCGCACGCGCAACGCGCACGCGCACGCGCACGCGCACGCGCACGCGCACGCACACGCACACGCACACGCACACGCACACGCACACGCACACGCACACGCACACGCACACGCACACGCACACGCACACGCACACGCACACGCACACGCACACGCACACGCACACGCACACGCACACGCACACACACAGAAGAATGAACAATTATTTGGAGCGTTTGCGCGATCTGAGGATGTGGCAAGGATGACGTCACCGATCACGTCACCGTGTGCCAGCCTGGTCGTGCTGGGCGGCCGCCCGCCTGACACCCGCCTGACGCCTGCGCCGCGCCGCTCGGCAGGGCAACAGCCGCTCGTCCCGGCCGCGACGCTACGAGATCCGCGACGGCGAGGCGGCCGGCTACACGGCGGCTGACCTGCAGCCCAGCACCTCCTACCTGTTTCGGGTGGGTGGACGAGCCGGCCGCCGGGCTCCGTGCCGCGCCTCTGTTCGCCTCGAGCCTCGGTCGGCTGGTGGTAGAGATGACGGCGAGAGACATGAGATGTCGCCGTGGGGGCGGGGGAGGGGTGGCTGTTGGCTCCGGCGGCTGTTAGGTGGGCGTGGCGCGGTGTCGTGCGAGCGCACGCGGAGTTGTGAGTGTCGGTGTCGGTGTTGACGTGGTGCGCAGACAACTCTGGTGGCCGCGCAACGAAAGCAAGATGCATGCACTGCCTCGGTTGTCGCAGTCGACTCGGTAAGCTGACCACCAGTTGCGGTGATGGCGTCTGCGATGCAGGTACGTACGAATATGGAGGAGAATGACTGCGATTGACCCGTGCTTGTGGCGTGCTCTGCTCCCCTCGGGCGCGGCCGACCGTCGATTGACGCGTGCGGCCGTGTCGGCGAGCCTGACCTGTGTCGATGCGCCGCCGCCAGGTGTCGGCACTCACTCGCAAGGGGGACGGCTCGCGCAGCGACGCGGCGCGCGCCACCACACAGGGCGGCGTGCCCAACCGGCCCGACGTGCTCATCAAGTGAGTGGCTGCGGCGCGGCCGGCGCCTGTGGCGTGCGCTGCATTGGGCCGGCTGTGGGCGGCGGCGAAACGTCCCTGGGTGAAATAGTGCGCTTGACCACGGTTGATGAGTACTGTAATGAGTACTGCGTTGATGAGTACTGTGGTCGTGGTGCTTCAGGGGAATGCTTAAAGCTGGATGACCGGAAGAACGTGGACGGACGGCCGGCGCGAGCTCGGCGGGACTGACCGGTGCATATGTGTCTGGCAGAGTGATCAAGGAGGAGGAGCGGGTGACGCTGGACGTGGAGTGGTCTCGCCCGACCGAGACGCACGGTGTGTTACTCGGCTACCGGCGGCGCTACGGCCGGGCGGGCGACGCCGCCAGGCTGAGGGAGGTCACCATCGCCGGAAACACGACCCAGTACAAACGACTCAGCGGCCTGGGTTAGTCGGCCCCCGAGCGGCGAATTCGCGTGTCTCCTCCTCGCCTCGACCCGCCACCGCCCTCGAAATGTGTGTGTGTGTGTGTGTGTGTGTGTGTGTGTGTGTGTGTGTGTGTGTGTGTGTGTGTGTGTGTGTGTGTGTGTGTGTGTGTGTGTGTGTGCGCACGCACGCACGCACGCACGCACGCACGCACGCGTGCGTGCACGCGCGCGCTTCCGGTGGCCTTGGCTGGTAACGCGCCGTCGTGCGCCCTGCTCCCACCGCCGTGTACCGGACACGTGCGCGCCGTGAGTCCTGTCATGGGTCCCGCCGTAAGTACCGTCGTGGTTCCTGCACTGAGCCCTGTCATGAGTCCGCCATGAGCCCGGTCGTAATTCCTGCCGTGAGTCAGACCTGAGTCGGCTGGCTAGCCCGGGCTGACCCGTCGCGGCCGACCGGCAGAACGTGGCGTCGAGTACGAGTTCCGTGTGAGCGGCCGGAACGACGTCGGCCACGGCCAGGAGCAGATCGTCACGTACAACACGAGCGAGGGCGCGCCGTCCGGCCCCGTCACAAACGTCACGTTCAGGTGGGTGACGGCCGGGAGGGGCGCCGCTGCCGACGCGCCAGCAGTGGCGGCTCGGTAGCTGGCCGGCTTAACCACCGGGAAACATGGTATGTGGCCTGTGGGGAAGGAAGGGCCAGGGAATAAAGAGCTTGACTTTTTTAATGACAACATTTTTCTAAACGACCGAAACATGTTTTAAGTGGGCACAAAATGACCATTGCAGTCGGCACGCCCTAAAACAGCAAGAAACAACGGTAACACCGTGTTGTTCTCTATGGGTTCACACATTTCATAAAAGCTGGTCAATGAATCTGTAATGTCCTGCGATGTTTTCTCTGGCTTTTGCGTAGAATCGTACTCCTTGACACTCTGGATGTCTTTTTAGTCATTTATTGAATGTTATTGCAACACAATTACAGGATGTCAGCGATAACTGTTCAGAGATGACAAAACTCATTCCTACATATATCATTTTCATCCCGTGGGTTTGCTTTTTTGGAGCAATTCAGACGATTGTGCGCTTTTGGCTCCAAAATGCGCCTAATTTGCCAGTCTACCAAGCGTTGCTGGAGTAAGCGGATTTGGCGCTTCGTGAAAAATTTAATGCAATCTTGGTGTCTTATCTCTCGTGTCATCTTCCGCGCAAATATGATATACCCAGGCTTTTGTATGATTATTTTGCCGGACCGTTGTCTAATGTGCCTGATGTGTTTGAGAACAGCGCATGCTGGTGTGTTGTCCACCCTCATCGGTCCTATCCGGGCTTCAGTGTGAGTCATACATGTGAGGCTGGCATTCATCGCTCATAATCACGCTTTTCTTCCTCAGCTGGGCTAGTTTAGCGTTTAATCTGGTCTTTGTTGAAACATCATTAGTGCTTTTCAGATCGCGTCGAGTTAAATCTTCTGGATTTTTCCTGCAGAGGAAGGATGAAAAAGTTTGTCTGATCTTGGCCAACATTAAGACGTCAGCTACTTTCCGCGGCACGACGCCGTGCCATCTGGGGGCTTATATTCGCGTAGACCAAGCGTGAAATGAAGCCCCGGAGCTTTCCAGACAGTCCTATGTGATCGAGACAAATTATGATGCTTTGAAATCGAGTGGTTGCTATGGGATTGACGGAACGGAAGCCAGGTGTTTCCGCATCGGCAGGTCCTGTTTCTCCACGTTTGTTATTCTTTTAAGTGTCTGTCACCATCATAGTGCCTTTTTTAGCTGGTTTGTTTTATTGTGATTGCCATTTTGTCGTGCACCGACAAGTATACCTACCAGCCGCTTTAAAAATGTCAATTGTCTTACACAGTTCGTATCATTTGTCTTCTTAGAACAGATTTGTCCGCCTCGTAACTCAGTCTGTAAGAGCGCCTGCCTCCCAAGCTATCCATGGCGGGACGGGTGAGGGCTCGAGTCGCCCCCGAGCCCGCTATTGGCCCCTGGCTGGGAAGACTTGCGATGGGTGGTAGCGGCCGCCCAAGGGCTGATGACGTCATAGAGCGCGGTGGACTGGGCCGAGGATTGCAGCACGCAAAATCTCCGCACAAAGTTCTGCCTTTGAACTGAAACTTTACGATCGTCTGGTGGGATCAAGGTTCACAAGCGCTGCTTAACGGCAGCTTATCGACACCAGAAACCCATGCCACCTAGATGCTCCCACCCAATTAAAATAATGAGATATAAAAATAATAAAACGGGTCACATAAAATGGTAAAACAGGCTCACAGGTTCACAGGCTCACAAACAGATAAAACACGTTCAGGTCACCTTTGCATTCGGCGAACAGATCGCTGCATGTTTTGCGGCTAGAATTGGATCGGGCTTCGCTGTGCCGTGTCTACGTAATTAAAAGCTCATCCTGGCGGCATCTGTTCGAACCTCTCGACGTACCTGATACGTTGTCTTGGGGGAGCACGCGGCTGTCGGCAATCAGTGAAATGGGGACACGGGTTTACGGATAACAACACGTTTGCCACGGGTGCTACTGGTACTATCTTTCCGGCAGGTGATGTCGGACTGACCGTGCCCTCCGGCGGTGTGTCGCCAGATTCCAGACGACCGATCGGGTGGCTTTCACCTGGGATCCGCCGCGATCGGACCAGCGAAACGGCAAGATCACCGGCTACAGTGTGCAGTTCCACAAGAAGGGCAACCTTGACCACGTGGAGCGGATGCACCCCAACGACACCAAGGTTTGCGACATCCACTGGTCCCGCATGTGCCTCCCAATTCTTCCCTGTCCTGGCATAGCTGGCAGAAGCCGACGCATTTGGCCGACTCTGGCTGGTATAACAAACTGAACTTCAGTGCCTGAGAGCTGGTCTTGCATTGCTCTCGCACGGCCAGATAAGTATGGGCATTTCTTCGTGCAGGGCCTCGTTGGCGGCCGCGGTGATCAAAGGGCGCCTCCGTTAACTGTCAGGCGTTCGATGTACCGTGACTTACGGTAGCGTTGCGAGCGATGGCGGCGTGCTCTCCTCGGCGCGCCGTCGTGCTGCCCGTCAGGCCGCCGTGTGCCATGCAGGTGGTGTTCGCCAAGCTGGAGGAGAACACGGCGTACGTGTTCCGGGCGCGCGCCAACACGTCGGTGGGCGCCGGGCCGTGGAGTGCGCCCGTCTCGGTCAGCACCGAGAGTGACCTGGTGCGGCCGCCCATCAACCTGCGCGCCATGGCCACCAGCTTCTCAAGCGTCGAGGTCTGGTGGGAGCAGGTGCACACCGCCACACAGATCGTCGGATACCAGGTCAGTGGGCGAGACCCGGGGCCGAGACGGCGCCACGCCGCGGGCGCCCAACCGGCACGGGTGTCATGTGGCGGGCGGGTATGTTTGTTGGTGGGGTGGGGCCGCGGCTCATCGCAAGCGTTGGCTTCGTCCCCGATGCTGTACGCCCTGTCCATCTCTTGTTGGCTGTCTTAAATGGAATACTGCACATTCGAAGATAATGAATCAGGTAGCAGATGTGATGAAAGAAGCTCATTTTTCACTATCTTGATGCTTTCAAGTGTAAAAGACTGCTCTAGACAGCAAAGTTTTTTGTAAATATGCTCCTCAACAGATCACCTTTTCATTGCGCCCTTAAACGTTTGTGTGTCAGCACTCACTAGTTTTTCAATCTCCCGGGGGGTGGCTCGTGCTGATGATGGGTGTGTGCTGAACCAAATATCGTTACGACGGGACTCGCGACATGACGAATGGTGTGCTCGTGTTTTGGCCGTTTCTTGTGTTCTGGCATATTTTTCGGTAATTTTAAGGTGTTGACTTTATTCACATCTCGGTTATAGAGCCTTCGTTAAGTTAGTCGATAACAATTGTTTTTCCCATACTAAATAGGCAGGATGTATAACTTCTTGTATTTCGCAGCACAAAACGTAATTCGTAAAGAACGTCCGACCGACCCTATTATCCTCTTATCCTATTTCTTGCATCATCTTGCATGCTCGCGATGCCCCGCTTGTCCGGGGCAGGGTGCATTCATCAGCCGCGAGTTGGCCGAGCGGCCCCCTGTAGGGGTCTCCGACCTGGGTCCCGTTGCGCAACATTGGTTGAGAGCCAGTTGACGGCCGTTATATCTGGGAGGCGCGCTCACGAACGCTAGACATTACGGCTCGACAGTTATATTTTCTTGACTCTGAACGCCGCATGGCTAGTGGAATGGCAGGATTTGAATGACACTATGTCGTCAAGGATGTCTTGGTAACCTTGAAGTATTCGGCACGAAATAGTATGTACATCTTCGCGGGTGAGCGTGTAGATCAAACTAGAGGGGTTTAGGTCTGGAGAAGAAGCAGGGCTCTGAACTACACCGAATGGTCTCCAAGTATTTACGTTCAAAACCCCATACAAATGTGGAACACTCCCTCTAAGCATCCGTATCTGCATCGTTGAGGAGGCACGCCTGTCGTTACACTAGACAGCGGCACGCCTGTCGTTACACTAGACAGCGGCACGCCTGTCGTTACACTAGACAGCGGCACGCCTGTCGTTACACTAGACAGCGGCACGCCTGTCGTTACACTAGACAGCGCCTCAGAGTGCTGCCGTGCGGTCGGGTCCTCGGGCGGGGGTGGTCGGGTCCTCGGGCGGGGGCGGTCGGGTCCTCGGGCGGGGGTGGTCGGGTCCTCGGGCGGGGTGGTCGGGTCCTCGGGCGGGGGTGGTCGGGTCCTCGGGGGGGGCGGTCGGGTCCTCGGGCGGCGCGGTCGGGTCCTCGGGCGGGGGTGGTCGGGTCCCCGGGCGGGGGGGTCGGGTCCTCGGGCGGCGGTGGTCGGGTCCTCGGGCGGGGGTGGTCGGGTCCTCGGGCGGCGGTGGTCGGGTCCTCGGGCGGGGGTGGTCGGGTCCTCGGGCGGGGGCGGTCGGGTCCTCGGGCGGCGGTGGTCGGGTCCTCGGGCGGGGGCGGTCGGGTCCTCGGGCGGGCGGGGGTGGTCGGGTACTCGGGCGGGGGCGGTCGGGTCCTCGGGCGGGGGTGGTCGGGTCCTCGGGCGGGGGCGGTCGGGTCCTGGCGGGGGCGGTCGGGTCTCGGGCGGGGGCGGTCGGGTCCTCGGGCGGGGGCGGTCGGGTCCTCGGGCGGCGGTGGTCGGGTCCTCGGGGGGCGGCGGTCGGGCCTCGGGCGGGGGCGGTGGGTCCTCGGGCGGGGGCGGTCGGGTCCTCGGGGGGGGCGGTCGGGTCCTCGGGCGGGGGCGGTCGGGTCCTCGGGCGGGGGTGGTCGGGTCCTCGGGCGGGGGGTCGGGTCCTCGGGCGGGGGCGGTCGGGTCCTCGGGCGGGGGGTGGTCGGGTCCTCGGGCGGGGGCGGTCGGGTCCTCGGGCGGGGGCGGTCGGGTCCTCGGGCGGGGGTGGTCGGGTCCTCGGGGGGGGTGGTCGGGTCCTCGGGGGGGGCGGTCGGTCGGGTCCTCGGGGGGGGCGGTCGGGTCCTCGGGCGGGGGTGGTCGGGTCCTCGGGCGGGGTTGGTCGGGTCCTCGGCGGGGGTGGTCGGGTACTCGGGCGGGGGCGGTCGGGTCCTCGGGCGGGGTGGTCGGGTCCTCGGGCGGGGGCGGTCGGGTCCTCGGGCGGTGGGCGGGTCGGGTCCCTCAGGCGGGGGTGGTCGAGTCCTCGGGCGGGGGTGGTCGGGTCCTCGGGCGGGGGCGGTCGGGTCCTCGGCGGGGGCGGTCGGTCCTCGGGCGGGTGCGGGTCGGGTCCTCGGGCGGGGGCGGGTCGGGTCCTCGGGCGGGGGGCGGTCGGGTCCTCGGGCGGGGGTGGTCGGGTACTCGGGCGGGGGCGGTCGGGTCCTCGGGCGGGGGTGGTCGGGGGTCCTCGGCGGGGGTGGTCGGGTCCTCGGGCGGGGGTGGTCGGTCCTCGGGCGGGGTGGTCGGGTCCTCGGGCGGGGGCGGGTCGGGTCCTTGGGGGCGGCGGCGGTCGGGTCCTCGGGCGGGGGTGGTCGGGTCCTCGGGCGGGGGGTGGTCGGGTCCTCCTCGGGCGGCGGCGGTCGGGTCCTCGGGCGGGGGTGGTCGGGTCCTCGGGCAGCGGCGGCCGGCCACCGTCGTCGCCCTGTGGATCGTGACAAGCCGGGCGGCCGCCAGGTGTTCTACGCCATGGCGCCCGAGACGGACCTAGACGCCTGGTCATTCAAGAAGGTACCGATCACCACGTCTGCTGAGCTGGAGAACCTGGACAAGCACGCGCAGTACGCCATCATGGTGGCCGCTCGCAGCAAGTCGGTAAGCGACGGGTCGGGCACGGCTGAGAGGCGTCCGAGGCTGCCGGCCAGGTAGCTCTGACCGGCCACCGGCTCCGTGTCCAGTCTGGAGATGTGCTGGTGCTCTATGTGGTGCCACTTCTTCTTGGTTTGGTGTTAAGCTCAGGACTGGCGTACGTGCGCGGGACTTGTTTTGCTAAACCCTGGAGAAACAGGTTAAGCCAGGAGAGCCTACTGTTTTCTTCCCGTTATACAAGACCGAGTATTACATGCGCGCCAGAATTTTTGTGAGCAGGAGTCTCATAAATGTCCGATGTGGCTGCGTCATCATGATTGCCATTGTACTGTATTGAAAATCACACCACTTTTTAAGGTCTAAGCCGTTCCTCGGACCTGACCCGCTCCCTGGGCATAGCCCGCTCCTTAGACCTGACCCGCTCCTCGGACCTGACCCGCGGCGTCTGCCCTCAGGGTCTGGGCGGTCTCTCGGACCTGACCCGCGGCGTCTACCCCCAGGGTCCGGACCGTCCCTCGGGCCTGACCCGCGGTGTCTGCCCCCAGGGTCTGGGTCGTCTCTCGGACCTGACCCGCGGCGTCCGCCCCCAGAGTCTGGGTCGTCTCTCGGACCTGACGCGCGGCGTCTGCCCCCAGGGTCTGGGTCGTCTCTCGGACCTGACCCGCGGCGTCTGCCCCCAGAGTCTGGGTCGTCTCTCGGACCTGACGCGCGGCGTCTGCCCCCAGGGTCTGGGCCGTCCCTCGGACCTAACCCGCGGCGTCTGCCCCCAGAGTCTGGGTCGTCTCTCGGACCTGATGCGCGGCGTCTGCCCCCAGGGTCTGGGTCGTCTCTCGGACCTGACCCGCGGCGTCTGCCCCCAGAGTCTGGGTCGTCTCTCGGACCTGACGCGCGGCGTCTGCCCCCAGGGTCTGGGCCGTCCCTCGGACCTAACCCGCGGCGTCTGCCCCTAGGGTCTGGGTCGTCTCTCGGACCTGACGCGCGGCGTCTGCCCCCAGGGTCTGGGCCGTCTCTCTGGCCTAACCCGCGGTGTCTGCCCCCAGAGTCTGGGTCGTCTCGGACCTGACCCGCGGCGTCTGCCCCCAGGGCCTGGGCCGTCTCTCGGACCTGATCCGCGTGCGGGTCAAGCCAATCGACGTGCCGTTGAACCTGCACGCGCCCAGCGTGCACACACACGGCATGTCGCTGACGTGGGGCCGGCCGGCACACCTGGACCCGCGCAACTACCGCATCCGCTACGACGCCGTCAAGGAGTTCCTCGACGCCGAGGGCGTGACGCAGTCGCAGCGCATCGAGCCGCGCGCGCTGATCCTGGACGCCAAGCGGTGCGAAAAGACGAGCGTCTGCCGCAAGCAAATCGAGGACCTGGAGCCGTTCACCACGTACACGGTGAACGTGACGGCCGTGCCCGACGACAACGGCTACCGCGCGCCGGCCAAGATCCGCGTCACCACCCAGATGGCCGGTAGGTCCGCCGGCGCCGGCGGCGGCGGTGGCGCGTCTGACTGTGTGTGTGTGGGGGGGGGGGGGGAGGGGCTCTGCTCGGCAGACGGACGACAGGAGGTGTTCTAGAGCGCGACTGAGTGTGTGTGTGGGGGGGGGGGGGGAGGAGCTCTGTTCGGCAGACGGACAACGGGAGGTGTTCTAGAGCGCGAGGATCGGCCCCAGGTAACAGATCGTCCGGGGTTGAGGCGTATGCCTCGGGCATCTGAGGCGCTTGTGAGTTATGACCCTTACTGTGAGATGGGAAGCCTAGTCAGCTGCTTTCACGAGCCTTTTCTGACTGTGTTGGGGTGCTGGTTTGATCGGGAGGCTTGTTTATTTTACTATCGTTGGCGATATACGACCAATAACCACTCACTCGTGCTCGTTTGTCACGTGGAGTCAGCATGTCGCTAGATCAGCCCGATGGTCAGAGGGGCGTGACCTGCATATGTGACCGCTATTCGGTGACCGGCCTCTCTGCACAGCCAGACGACTGTATCGCTGTCGGCGCGTCTGGCGTGCACGCCTTCTGCTGTCCTTGCCGTGATTGGTCTGTTGTGCGGCCGACCTGACCGCCGCCTGCGCGTCTCTGCAGCGCCGCAGCCGATGGTGAAGCCTGACCCACTGGGCGTGCGGAACAAGAAGGTGATGGTGATCCTGCCGCGCGCCTCGGAGGAGTACGGCCCCATCTCGCACTACTTCATCGTGGTGGTACCCGAACACGACGTCAAAGAGCATCCGGACTCGCACAGCACAAAGAAGGTGAGCGGCGGCGGAAGTCGTGGTTAGCCATGGCTGGCGGCGGCTGCGCGCCGGCGCCGCCTTGCTGCAGCGCCGGCCGCGCGGAGCTCACAGCCGGTAGAGCGGCTCGAGCAGGCCCAGCTCGCGGCTGAGCGGTCGAGCCGAGCCAACGTCCGCCCCCGCGCTGCTCTCCCCAGCAGCCGGAGGCCGAGCGCAGGCGGCCGACCGGAACCGCACGTGTGGCGGACGCCGCGCCGTCGGTACCCTGCCGTCGGTACCCTGCCGTCGACGCCGGTTGGTCACTCGGCCTCTCCCCGCCGCCAGATGGTGGAGGCGAAGCGCTCCAAGGTGATGCCCAACTACCGGCCGTACATCACCGCCAAGTTTTACCAGCGCGACATCCCATACACCTTCGCGCTCGGGGACGGCCGCGAGTACGACGGCTTCGTCAACAAGCCGCTGGAGAAGGGCAAGAAGTACCGCATCTTCGTGCGTGCCGTCGTGGACACGCCGGCGGAGGTCAGTGGGGGGGGGGGGGGGGGGGGCTGACGTAGCTGAGGCAGCTGAAGCAGGCGGCGGTGAGTGCCACTCCTCATTGGTGACCAAAGTGCCGCGGCCGAGACACTGTCCGGCTCGGATACGTCTCTTGACTTTAGCCGGAGGAGGTCACCGACGGTTTGTTGCATGGTCTCGAGCGCCGGTTTTGCCAGGCTGTTGAGCCGTCATGTGCAGCGATGCTGTCTGTGTCAAGTCTGTGGAGGACTGCGCGGCTGGGTTCCGTCTGTCGGCCTCTGTAGCGGCCGGGCATCTCATCCTGCCCATTGTGCTACTGTCAATTCTTCCCGCGGCCTTTGGTAGCCGTTCACGTCCAGTCCGTACTTAGAACTGCTCTGTCCACACTCCACGTGACCTGACGCGGGCCATCCCCTCGTGCAGGACCTGTTCACGTCCAGTCCGTATTCGGAGCTACTCAGTCTGGACATGAAGCGGCTGCGGGCGGGCGCGCTGCCGCAGCGGCCCAACCCCAGCCAGCCGGGCGATCAGGTGAAGGTGGCGCCGGACACCTCGCGCTCCTCGTCCAGCCTGGTCTGGGTGGTGGGCCCAGTGGCCGTCGGTCTGGTGCTGCTCATCATCCTGGTGCTGTACATCGTCATCGCCGCCAGGAGGTGAGCGGGCCGAGCGTCGCCGCTCCGCTGCCGCGCGTGCTCCGGTGGGACGGGAAGCCGGACGCCCCGGAGCCCGAGGGAGCGCGGCGTGACGACTGCAGGCTGGGGCGCAGGCGGGGTCGTGATGAGCGGCGTGAGTTTGTGGCCCGGTCTGCCGCCAGCGGTACTGGTGATCTGCGAGTAGATGTAGACCATACCAACCTGAAGCAGGGACGACGGAAGTAACCTTGAGCCTTCAGTGACCTGCGTTCTGTACTGACCTCTGATCGTGCTTCCCGGTATGACCAGAGCACGGCAGCTGTGCTCAACCCTTGCTCAGGTTTGCCCTGGTTGTCTGGTTAACATGGTCGTGACCTGTCCACCGTCGAGCTCCCTGACGTTCTCTTCACCGGACCAGATCGCGACCTGTCCACCGCCGAGCCCTCTGACGTTCTCTTTACCGGACCAGATCGCGACCTGTCCACCGTCGAGCCCTCTGACGTTCTCTTTACCGGACCAGATCGCGACCTGTCCACCGTCGAGCCCTCTGACGTTCTCTTCACCGGACCAGATCGCGACCTGTCCACCGTCGAGGTACCTGACGTTCTCTTCACCGGACCAGATCGCGACCTGTCCACCGTCGAGCTCCCTGACGTTCTCTTCACCGGACCAGATCGCGACCTGTCCACCGTCGAGCCCTCTGACGTTCTCTTCACCGGACCAGATCGCGACCTGTCCACTGTCGAGCTCCCTGACGTTCTTTTCACCGGACCAGATCGCGACCTGTCCACCGTCGAGCTCCCTGACGTTCTCTTCACCGGACCAGATCGCGACCTGTCCACTGCGGAGCCCTCTGACGTTCTCTTCACCGGACCAGATCACGACCTGTCCACCGTCGAGGTACCTGACGTTCTCTTCACCGGACCAGATCACGACCTGTCCACTGTCGAGCTCCCTGACGTTCTCTTCACCGGACCAGATCGCGACCTGTCCACCGTCGAGCCCTCTGACGTTCTCTTCACCGGACCAGATCGCGACCTGTCCACCGTCGAGCTCCCTGACGTTCTCTTCACCGGACCAGATCGCGACCTGTCCACCGTCGAGCTCCCTGACGTTCTTTTCACCGGACCAGATCGCGACCTGTCCACCGTCGAGCTCCCTGACGTTTTCTTCACCGGACCAGATCGCGACCTGTCCACCGTCGAGCTCCCTGACGTTCTCTTCACCGGACCAGATCGCGACCTGTCCACCGTCGAGCTCCCTGACGTTTTCTTCACCGGACCAGATCGCGCCGTGGGCGCTCCGTCCTCGCCTTTGGGCCAGACCGGCCTGCGCGGCCGAGATCAGCTGCAGCTGGCATCGAGCGCGGACTGACCTAATCTCACCCTATCTAACCACCCCCGCCGCTCTGACCTGACCGTGCCCGAGCTTGCGTAGTCTGACGCCCCCCCCGCGCTGTGTGCGGCAGGCGGCGTCAGTTCCAGAAGTCACCCGAGCCGGCCACCGTGATGAAGCCGCTGATGTGTGACATGGCGGCGCCGGCCAGCCACGCGCAGACCGACCCGGTCGAGATCCGGCGCCAGAACTTCCAGACGCCCGGCATGATGTCGCACCCACCCGTACACGTTAGCCAGCTGGCCGACCACGTGGAGGCGCTCAAGGCCAACGACAACAGCAAGTTCTCGCAGGAATACGAGGTGCGCCCCCGGGGGACTCGTCTTGCACTCGCACGGCGAGGAAGTTGGGGCGGGTAGACGTGTTGGGGTGAGGTGAGCAGCCACTGTTGGCGTGGGGGTCATGCTGAGGCGGCACGCTGTTGTCTGACTGGAGTGCGGTATGTGGTCCCTCCGCCGGCGCAGCTCCTGGACTCCGCCTGAGCATGCGTCTCCACGTCATCTGCAGATGTCGCCGCCGCTCAGCGATGGACAGTCCAGCTGCCCGTCCGAACGTCGCCGACCTGTCACACGACGCCTCCCGCCGCGTGACAGAACGTCACCGACCTGTCACACGACGCCTCCCGCCGCGTGACTGAACGTCACCGACCTGTCACACGACGCCTCCCGCCGCGTGGCTGAACGTCACCGACCTGTCACACGACGCCTCCCGCCGCGTGGCTGAACGTCACCGACCTGTCACACGACGCCTCCCGCCGCGTGGCTGAACGTCACCGACCCGTCACACGACGCCTCCCGCCGCGTGGCTGAACGTCACCGACCTGTCACACGACGCCTCCCGCCGCGTGACTGAACGTCACCGACCTGTCACACGACGCCTCCCGCCGCGTGGCTGAATGTCGCACTCGGTCCGGGGCCCCACTGACTGCGCCGCTCCCATCGCTCTGTCGGCAGTCGATCGAGCCGGGCCAGCAGTTCACCTGGGTCAACTCCAACCTGGACGTGAACCGGCCCAAGAACCGATACGCCAACGTCATAGCGTACGACCACTCGCGCGTGGTGCTGCAGTCGGAGGAGGGGCTGGCGGGCAGCGACTACATCAACGCCAACTTCTGCGACGGCTACCGCAAGCACAACGCCTACATCGCCACCCAGGTGCGCCCCAGCCGCCGGAGGGAGGGGACGTCGGCTCCAGCGAGGTCGTATGACATCATTTCACTGTCCTGGGCGTTCTGTTCATGATGGGGCTGTAGTAAGCGTTGAGTCGTTCAAACGCATGCTTGTCGTTTATTGTGAAGCTTGTATGCACTGTCATCAGCTGCTGCTGGGCTGGGGTCGGTGTTGTCGAGATGACCAGTGGCTGAGAGGTGCTTTGTCTGAACCCCGCCGCACCTGAACCCCATTGTGTCTGCACCCCGCCGTGCCTGGCCCCTCTGTGTCTGAACCCCACCATGTTTGAACCCGTCCGTGTCTGGACCCCACTATGTCTGAGCCCTGCCGTTTCTGACCCCGCCTTGTCTGAACCATGCCGTGTTTGACCCCCCGCCGTACCTGAACCATGCCGTGTTTGACCTCGCTGTGTCTGAACCCCGCCGTGTTTGACCTCGCTGTGTCTGAACCCGGCCGTGTTTGACCCCCCACTGTATCTGAACCATGCCGTGTTTGACCTCGCTGTGTCTGAACCCCGCCGTGTTTGAGCCCCACTCTATCTGAACCATGCCGTGTTTGACCTCGCTGTGTCTGAACCTCGCCGTGTATGACCTCGCTGTGTCTGAACCCCGCTGTGTCTGAGCCCTGCCGTTTCTGACCCCGCCTTGTCTGAACCATGCCGTGTTTGACCCCCCGCCGTATCTGAACCATGCCGTGTTTGACCTCGCTGTGTCTGAACCCCGCCGTGTTTGACCTCCCACCGTATCTGAACCATGCCGTGTTTGACCTCGCTATGTATGAACCCCGCCGTGTGTGACCTCGCTGTGTCTGAACCCCGCCGTGTTTGACCCCCCACCGTATCTGAACCATGCCCTGTTTGACCTCGCTGTGTATGAACCCCGCCATGTGTGACCTCGCTGTGTCTGAACCCCTCCGTGTTTAACCCCCACCGTATCTGAACCATGCCGTGTGTGACCGCACCACGGCCGGTGCCGCAGGGCCCGCTGCCGGAAACGTTCTCCGACTTCTGGCGCATGGTATGGGAGCAGCGCAGCTTCACTATTGTCATGATGACGCGCCTGGAGGAGCGGGCGCGCATCAAGTGTGACCAGTACTGGCCCACCAAGGGCACACAGTCGTACGGGCCCATCCATGTGACGCTCACAGACAGTCAGGAGCTGGCCAGCTACGTGGTCCGCACCTTCCAGCTGCAGCGGGTATGTGCCGTCCCGTCCCTTTCCGCCTCAGTCCTCGCGACCCGCCCCTGGACTCTCTTCGCTGGTCTTAGTATTCTCATCCCTCCCCCCCCCCCCGTGGTGATAGCAATATGTATATTTGCCACGTCGCTCGTTCGACACCACAAAAAGCGTGTGGCTTGGTTGCTAGTTTGGATGGCCAGTCATTGTGTGAAGTGGTATGGACCGTGAGCCGCTCCAGGCCCGTCTCGCGGGCCCTGTTTACGCTGTCCCCTTTGCTGGTTGTGCCCACGTGTAACTGGCTCCGCGTGAGCTCGCGTGTGACTGACGCCGTGCGTGCGTTCGGCAGGCCAACTCGCTGGAGCGGCGCGAGGTGCGCCAGTTCCAGTTTACGGCATGGCCCGACCACGGCGTGCCCGACCACCCGACGCCGTTCCTGCTGTTCTTGCGCCGCGTCAAGGCGCTGAACCCGGCCGACGCTGGGCCGATGGTGACGCACTGCTCGGCGGGCGTGGGCCGCACCGGGTCAGTGAACGGCCCGCTGGGCGGCCGGCAGCGCCGCGACGGCACCGATCCGGCCACCGTGGGCCTCATCGCTCCAGCAGAGGCTCGGGCCATGTTGCTGGTCGGGTGACGGCCTTTACGTCGCGTTATTTTCGCTGTGAGCGTGTGACGGTCGATATCTTCTATGGCGGCTGCTTGTAGCGCTGCGCTACTGTTGGCCGTGACATCTTGTTCACAAGTCATCGCCGGGGAGTGGCGGCGCTCGCAAGTCGGGGGTGCAGCGACGCGCCGCCGCCGCTGGTCGGGCGGCAGATGTGCGGCGGCGCGCGCGTCCACGCAGGAGTCACGGTGCTGACGACCGCCTCCGGACGGCAGGTGCTTCATCGCCATCGACAGCATGCTGGAGCGCATCCGCTCCGAGGCCACGGTTGACGTCTACGGTCACGTGACTTGCCTGCGAGCCCAGCGCAACTACATGGTGCAGACTGAGGACCAGGTGCGCGCCGGCGGAGGACGCGGCTGTGGTACAGTCGCGAGCGCGGCGGCTCTGAGACGGACACTGAGGGTGTGGCTCAGCTCCGAGGGTAAACCGGCGCTCTTCGTTCGGAATGTGTTGGCCGTTTTTTGATGATGTGTCATCCCAGGGGTTGGCTACACAGTGAAAGTTCCGTTTGAACTGCGTCGCCAGCATCTGCCCCGGCTGGTCCGCTCGCCAGCCCAGGTATGTGCTGACGCCATATGCTGTGCTCTGCACCGGCTCGGCCGGCCCCCCGCTGACGTCAGCTACGGCCCTGTCGCCAGTACATCTTCATCCACGACGCGCTGCTGGAGTCGGTGGTGGCCGGCAACACGGAGGTACCGGCGCGCAACCTGCAGGCCTACATATCGCAGCTGCTTCAGCCGACCGGACCCGGCGACAACATCACCGGCATGGAGCTCGAGTTCAAGGTACGCCAGGCGCGGGCCGAGCGCCGGCGGCCCCGCCTCCGGCCGGCCGGGCCGTCCTGGTTCCGGTCAGGCGTGGTGTCGGCGCCTTGTCGCCAGGCGCGCTCCGAGTGCCTGGCTCGGCCTGCCTCCGGCCGGCCGGGCCGTCCTGGTTCCGGTCGGACGTGGTGCCGGCGCCTTGTCGCCAGGCGCGCTCCGAGCGCCGGCGGCCCCGCCTCCGGCCGGTCGGGCGTGGTGTCGGCGCCTTGTCGCCAGGCGCGCTCCAAACTTTCCTCCATACGTCACGCGCAGTGCGCTCACCGTGCCTCGCGTCTGCAAATGTCTGTGCTTATATTTGACTCTGGTTCCGGTGCTGACCACACATGGCTCCCTAAAGCTGTGTTTACCACTTCATTGCGACAGTGCAAGTGGAATTTTATGTTTATGGTTGCATTAATGGGTGCATAGCAGAACGACCCGGTACACCTGAGCGGGGCGAAACAGCGGAAATAAAATGCGCTAACTGCGGCGGTAGAACAGACAGGCAACGGACGCATGTTCTGACTACTACACCTGAAGCTGAGCCGTAATCAGCACGCCGGAGCGGTGTGTACTGGTCCACCGGTGTGTCTGGACCGGACCCGGCCTCGGCGCTTGAGAGGATTTCTGACTTGCCGTCGGTGAATGACGTGTGCGGACTTCATTGTCACTTGTCATGGCCTGTCGTGTCGTCCCGGAGCAGGTGCAACGGGCGATGCCTGGGACAGTCGGAGCTGGGTCACCGCCGTACCGAAGTGATTGCTGAGTCGCCCCACCGGAACGGGCTGGGTAACAGCGGCCGACGAAGGCCTAAATCGGCCAAGACCGGCACATTATCAGTGTTTGGTTCTGTGCGCTCGTTGGCGTCTGAATGTTCTGTCGGTGTTCTGGTGACCTGTGATATGCTGTAATATTCTGGTGACCTGTGATATGCTGTGATATTCTGGTGACCTGTGATATGCTGTGATATTCTGGTGACCTGTGATATGCTGTGATATTCTGGTGACCTGTGATATGCTGTGATATTCTGGTGACCTGCGACGGGCTGACATGAACGCGACCCCGCTGGAACTGCGCCCCCGCGCTCCGCCTGCAGAAGCTGGCCAACATCAAGGCGCAGCCGTTCCGCTTCGTCTCAGCCAACCTGCCGGCCAACAAGTTCAAGAACCGCTTCGTCAACATCCTGCCGTTCGAGTCGACGCGCGTGTGCCTGCAGCCGCTGCGCGGCGTGGAGGCCAGCGACTACATAAACGCCAACTTCATCGATGGCTACCGCACCCGCAACGCCTATGTCGGTGAGTGCGGCTGGCTGCGAAGTGATGTGATTGCCGACGTGGCGGGTGGGATGGCGGCAGTGCCGTTGGGGCAGGATTGAGTCCCGAACCGTCTCTTTGCGGCCCTGCTGCCAGTCTACCGCCCGCTATGTTGCGGTTGGGCCGGCTTTCCCGCTCTGGGGTCGGATCGTAAAGAGTGCGCCGTGCACGGCGTCACGCTCTGCCGTGTGAAACGCTGCTGCCGTGCGGGACGTACTTGCTACCGCCGGCGACGGTGGCGGCAGCGAGGAGTCATGTGTTCGGGTCTCTCGCCTGCGACCGTTTTGGTGTAGTGCTGCAGTGTCTGGGCGTGTGGACCGGTGCCAGCGCTGCATTTGTCGGCGTGTCCACGTGTCCGGTCGTGTCCGGTCGTGTCGGGCTGTGTCGGACCGTGTCCGGCCCGTGTCACGTCGGTCAGAACAGGGCGGGTGACGGGTGCAGGGCGGCAGCTGACTGTCCGCGTGGCCTCCCGCAGCCACGCAGGGACCGCTGGCCGAGACCACCGACGACTTCTGGCGCATGCTCTGGGAGCACAATTCCACCATCATCGTCATGCTGACCAAGCTGAAGGAGATGGGCCGCGACAAGTGTCACCAGTACTGGCCCAGCGACAAGTCGGCCCGGTCAGTCGCTGCGGCTGCTCTGGGCTGGCACCAGCCGGCCGCTGGCGCCCAGGGGGCCAGGCCAGCCTAGCTGGGCCTCACTGCTCTGCGTTTGGTCCCGCTCAGTGTTCAACCAGATCTAGTTGGGGTGGCAGCAACAGCCGCGCTGTCGTTGGTGTAAGAACAGGGGAAATGAGGGTATGGACATTTCACACAATTTTGTCTGCCACTTCTCCAATGTCGTACAGAAAGGACGGCTGCAGGCTTCCGTAGATATTGTGTCGGCCTGTGTTGTGTGGATTAGCGGATGGCTCGTGAGCAAGCTGCGATAACCTTTCGTGGCTCGCCGACAGGTACCAGTACTGCGTGGTGGAGCCCATCAGTGACTTCAACATGAGCAACTGCACAATGCGGGAGTTCAAGGTGACGGACGCCCGGGACGGCACGCTGCGGACCGTCCGCCAGTTCCAGTACACCGACTGGCCCGAACAGGTCAGGCCCCGGCCAGAAGAACCATGTGGACGGCCGACCCCCGACGGTGGCTGGGGGGGGGGGGGGGGGGGGGGCAGAAGAAGTGTCGGCCGTGGATGCTCGGGGCTGTTAAGAATCGGTGAGCCGTGTCAGGGGATCCAAGTGGTGGTTGGAAGTGTGTCTCAGTGTTATTCGAGCAAGGCATGAGTGTATAAAGCAGCCTTAACTTGAAGGCTGAGCAAAGAATGGTTCTGACATCTCGTGTTGCTCATGTAGATAAAGTTTGTATGCCCTGCCGCCAGTCATGATACTGACCCTGCGTACGGCGTCCGACATAATATGACGGACGTTAATTTGGGAAGCAATTCACTGCACTACGTGGAGTTAAGAACGTCCAGCTCCGAGATAAACCATTATGTCGACACTAGGCGTGTCGACGCGGCGGAGGCAGGGGGTGGGGGGGGGGGGGCTGACCGTTGCCGTCTGTCGTCTGTGCCCGCTAGGGTGACACTGTAAGCGTGTCGACGCGGCGAAGACAGGGGGTGGGGGTGGGGGGTGGGGGGGGGGGGGCTGACCGTTGCCGTCTGTCGTCTGTGCCCGCTAGGGTGACACTGTAAGCGTGTCGACGCGGCGGAGGCAGGGGGTGGGGGCTGACCGTTGCCGTCTGTCGTCTGTGCCCGCTAGGGTGACACTGTAAGCGTGTCGACGGCGGAGGCAAGGGGTGGGGGCTGACCGTTGCCGTCTGTCGTCTGTGCCCGCTAGGGTGTGCCCAAGTCTGGCGAAAGCTTCATCGACTTCATTGGCCACGTGCACAAGACTAAAGTGCAGTTCGGCCTGGAGGGGCCCATCACCGTGCACTGCAGGTGAGGAGGCTGCACGCGGCGGTGTCGGCGACGGAGGCGCCGCAGCGCCGGCACCGCCCCTCACCAGCCCCTCACCGGCTGCTCAGGCGTCCCCTCAGGCGTCCCCTCAGGTGGTCCCTCACCGGCTGCTCAGGCGTCCCCTCAGGCGTACCCTCAGGCGTCCCTTCAGGCGGCTCCTCACCGGCTCCTCACCGACTCCTCACCGACTCTTCACCGACTCTTCACCGGCTCCTCACCGGCTCCTCACCGGCTGCTCAGGCGTCCCCTCAGGCGTCCCCTCAGGTGGTCCCTCACCGGCTGCTCAGGCGTCCCCTCAGGGGTCCCTTCAGGCGGCTCCTCACCGGCTCCTCACCGGCTCCTCACCGGCTGCTCAGGCGTCCCCTCAGGTGGTCCCTCACCGGCTGCTCAGGCTTCCCCTCAGGCGGCTCCTCACCGGCTCCTCACCGGCCCCTCACCGGCCCCTCACCGGCTGCTCAGGCGTCCCCTCAGGTGGTCCCTCACCGGCTGCTCAGGCGTCCCCTCAGGTGGTCCCTCACCGGCTGCTCAGGCTTCCCCTCAGGCGGCTCCTCACCGGCTCCTCACCGGCCCCTCACCGGCCCCTCACCGGCTGCTCAGGCGTCCCCTCAGGCGTACCCTCAGGCGTCCCCTCAGGCGTCCCCTTAGGCGGCTCCTCACCGACTCCTCGCCGACTCCTCACCGGCCCCTCACCGACTCCTCACCGGCTCCTCACCGGCTGCTCAGGCGTCCCCTCAGGCGTCCCCTCAGGTGGTCCCTCACCGGCTGCTCAGGCGTCCCCTCAGGCGCCCCCTCACCGGCTCCTCACCGGCCCCTCACCGGCTGCTCACCGGCCCCTCACCGGCTGCTCACCGGCCCCTCACCGGTTGCTCAGGCGTCCCCTCAGGCGGTCCCTCACCGGCTGCTCAGGCGTCCCCTCAGGCGGCTCCTCACCGGCCCCTCACCGACTCCTCACCGGCTCCTCACCGGCTGCTCAGGCGTCCCCTCAGGCGTCCCCTCAGGTGGTCCCTCACCGGCTGCTCAGGCGTCCCCTCAGGCGCCCCCTCACCGGCTCCTCACCGGCCCCTCACCGGCTGCTCACCGGCCCCTCACCGGTTGCTCAGGCGTCCGCTCAGGCGGTCCCTCACCGGCTGCTCAGGCGTCCCCTCAGGCGGCTCCTCACCGGCTGCTCAGGCGTCCCCTCGGGCGGCTCCTCACCTGCTGCTCAGGCGTCCCCTCAGGCGGCTCCTCACCGGCTGCTCAGGCGTCCCCCCAGGCGGCCCCTCACCGGCTACTCACTGGGCTGATGAAAGCGGCCGGGCCGGATCGGTGCCGGACCGGCAGTCGAGCCGCCGATTACCACGGTAGAAATGTTATATGATGATTCATGGTGTAATCTGGCTACTGGCTTCTGTGTGGTGACTGGACGACGCTGGGTTCCAACCGTGAGGCAGTCATGGCGTCCTGCGGAGATCCCGTTGGGAGCGACGCTCCGCACTGTGCTCCGGACGTCATCTGGGATATCTTGTGAATCTCCTTATCAGCATCAGGCGGTGTATTCTCTCGCCGACGCCAACAGACCCGTCCTTGGTCCTGCACCATCCCCGAAGTGCCCCTGACTCGCCCCTGACGCGCCCCTGACGCGCCCTGACTCGTCCCTGAGACCCAGCAGCTGGTCTGGCCGTGATATGTCTGGCCCGGCCGACAGTGCCGGTGTGGGTCGGACGGGCGCGTTCATCGCTCTGAGCATTGCGCTGGAGCGCATGCAGTTCGAGGGCGTGGTGGACATGTTCAACACGGTGCGGATCCTGCGCACCCAGCGGCCGGCCATGGTGCAGACCGAGGTGAGGCGACGGTGGCGCGGGCTGGCGGCCGCCACCCCGACTAACCGCACGCTCGCCGCCGCATGCCGCGCTTGGTGTCGCGCGCGCGCCCGCCGCGCCCGGACGGCGAGCCGAACGCGTGCCGGGCCGTAGAGCGCGCTGCGTGAGGCCGGCGGGCCGCGGACTCGCGGCGCCGACCCTCACCAGTCGCCCGGCAGTGCTCTGTGTTGTGTCGGTAGTCGTACCGCACAAAATTAAAGCCCTGCCTCCGTTTCTGTTCTCGTTTGGTTGTTGAGGTTTTCGTTCAGCTAGCCTGCACGCATGTAGCCGAGTTTGTCGAGGTCGCCTGTGAGGACCTGCTCTCCGGTGTGCGTGTGTCTGAGCGGCGCCGAGTCCAAGCCGCCGCGCGCCGTGTCCCCGCCGCTCGCGCCCGCCCCGTCACCCACGTCTGTCTGTTCGCAGGAGGAGTACCAATTCTGTTATGAGTCGGCGCTTAAATACTTGCAGTCGTTCGATTTCATCGAGCAGGACGCGAGCTTAATGCAGCTGTGAGAGATGTAGGTACCGGGAGGGGCAGACCAGCGGCCAGACGCGCGCCGCCGAGGCGGCATCACAGTCACTGATGTCCGGCCCGGGGGGGGGGGGGGGACCGGGCATTGACCCATGTGGCAAGAGGTGAGCGGAGGTAGCGCACCGTGCACAATAGGCCAGCGCGCCATGCGGGTTTGAATTGGCCAGAGTGCTATGGTCCGCCATGCATTCTCACTGTTTTTACGACGAACTTAGCTAGAAGACTGTATTTCTGGATAGTGCTTGTGGTTTCGGTTTTGCATGATGCATGACCCTTTTTGCAATTCGCTTACAGACGTGTCCGGCATAGTTTTTGAGACCAAGTGTTGCTTGAGATTCTGCGCATCCATTGTCTGCATAATGCATGGATTATTTTACACATGAGTGAAGCCACATCCCGATTCAGTTGATGATATACGTATTGGGCTGCTGCTGGGGAGCCGAGACCGTGCTGCTGTTTGTGTTGGCGGCACTGCGGCCGCAGCTGGCGGGGCTGCGGCCGCCGCGCCCCAAGCAATGACGACTCGGCGCGAGCTGCCGCCTGACCGGTGCGCCCCGCCCCGCAGGATCAGTACCAGTTCGTGTACCGAGCGGCGCTCGAGTACCTCAACTCGTTCGACCACTATGTGGCCTAAGGCCGCCGCGGCGAGTGAGCGAGCGAGCGAGCGAGGCTGCTGGCCGGCCGGCCGGGCGCCGGCGACGGTGCCGACATATCAGGGCGGCGCGGCCGACTGCAGCAATATCGCCGCCAAGGCCCACATTCCCCCCGCCCGGGACCGCCATATGTGATGTGATACGGCGGTCGGCCGGGCTCGGCCGGCGCGCATGCGCACAAGGTGTCACCGGCCGCTGTACATACGCCCGCTGTCATAGCAACGAGAGGTGACGTGCCGTGCCGTGCCGCGCCGCGCCGCGCCGCGCCGCGGTGTGATGCGCCGGACGTGTGTAGGATGTTGTGGCGGCGCGTCCGCTATAGATACCGGTGACGCCCGGCTGATGTATGTTCACTAACCGCGTCCCCGGCTCCGCTGGCCGAGTCGACAGCCGGAGTGCGGTCCTGACCTCTCTACTGCATTTTAGGTTATCTGTACGCTGCATTTTGGCGGCGAGGCGGCTCGAAGGGATCTGATTTGCACATGGTGTTCGTCTCCCCGTACGTGTTGGGGGCTGGCGGCAGGCGTCGCGGCGACGGTGGCGGCGCCGCCAGGCCCTGCGTGCCGGGGGCCGCTCGTGTGGGCCGTGTGGTCGGGCGCCGCGCGTCCGGCTGCGAGCGGACGCCCGCGTCATCGCCGCCCCCCCCCCCCCCCCCCCCGGCCCGTCGGCCGCCCGTCACCCGATCAGTTTTGTAAATTGCATGTTTGTATATAGACATACATTGCATTTTGAAGAAGACGGCGTTTTCTGAGAACGCGTTGCTTGGAATTGAGGAATGTATTTCTGATTGATTGGCGTGACCCAGCGGCCAGTGCACACTGCAACAACTCGAACGGAGCGGCGTGGGTTTGCTGTCGGAGTTTCTCTCACCGATTACTGCCGAATACAACGCGAGCACATATCCGCACAAGCCAAGTCACCGATGCCTTTAACATTGTGTGTGACACGCGCCGAGGCCTGGGCTTTGTCGGGACAGGAAGGATCACGCGGAACGGGCATGTTTTAGCGCGACCGGCCTTCCATGAATGGCGCGGGCGGTGCCTGGTGCCGTCATCTGGTGATGTGCTAGGACGGCACCTGACCGTGGTCGGGTTTCACGGCTCACGAACACGTCACGACCGGGCTGGCCGCGCTCGGCTCCCCGTCCATCCGTCCGTAGCTGGGGAAGGGGTGGCTCAGGCGGAAGTCAGTAGCCGAACACCAGGGCCCGAGTCCCACGCTCGGCTCCCCGTCCATCCGTCCGTAGCTGGGGAAGGGGTGGCTCAGGCGGAAGTCAGTAGCCGAACACCAGGGCCCGAGTCCCACGCCGGCGCGCCGGCCCGCTTCGCTGGTGCGCCCGGTGCTCGCGCATTGCCTCAGTCGGAGTTCTTGAGCATTCTACGTTTTATGTTCGCCAGCAACCGGCCCTTCCTTAGCAGTTCGCAAGCTTTCCAGAACTAACTGAAGGAAATAAATAGACAACGCAACCGTCCCATTCTGCAGACGTCAGCACACATTCACGACGGACAGCAGCCCCCTTAACAACGTAAAGACTGTCACATCCTTAACAGCAATTAGTGAACGTTCCCTGGGCAGTGTGCGACTGAAGAAAACTATAGCGATCGATCGCTAAACAATGTGTTAACAATATGCTACCTGGAAGACAGAAACTAACGTGGTTGGACAGCGGCACGGGACACGAAGCCGGCAGTTAAAGGCGATCCTGCGGCACGAGACACAGAGCCGACAGTGAAAGGCGATCCTGCGGCACGAGACACGAAGCCGACAGTAGTGAGAGCCGACCCTGCTGCCAGTCGACTCGGCGCGAGTGGTAGGAGCGAGTGCACTGTTGTCGAGAGCGCACCGGGTCGGCGGCGCCTCTCCAGCAGCCTCAGTGGCCACTGACGCCGTTCGATACGCCGTTGGCAACGCCGTTGGTGACGGCCGCCGCCTTGGCCAGCGCAGCCTGGCCCGTGGTAGCCGCCGCCCCGGCGTCGCAGTCGTCCTGGTAGCCGCGCGGATTCATGGTCTGCCAGCGCCACATGTCCCGACCTGCGGAGAACCCAGCCGGTCAGACGCGCCGCGCGGGTTCAGGGTCTGCCAGCGCCACATGTCCCGACCTGCCGGGAACCCAGCCGGTCGAACGCGCCGCGCGGGTTCGTGGCCTGCCAGCACCTGTCCGGACCTGTGGGGAACCCCACCGGTCAGGCCCGCCGCCGGCAGCCGGTCTCGTCGTGCCGGACATTGCATTCTATAGCACACGTCAAATGAACAAGACAGTTCAACTCGTGACATTTCGGCGAGCCCAAGTTCTAACAAGTAATAAAAGCTTAAGATCGCAAAACGTTCAAACAGAAACAGCCAGAAAGAGCACCAAGGCAGCTCAGATTGAAGGTCGGTCCTAAAGTCACTCGACAGCGTGAACAACGAGGATTATTCAGCAGGAAAACGGGCTGGTTAGATGTGCCTGCCGTGAACGACAGAAACACGCCGTCAAAAGGGCAGCCGGGTGCAGAGGGGCCGCTCTCAGGGCCTCCGCAAGGAAACGGAACACAGGTACCGTCTCGCTAGCCATGGCCTGTCGCTATCTTTGCCTGCAGCGAGCTCCGTACACATAAACGCAACCGTAAACGGCGTGGTATTGTGTCACTGGCCACGGCGCCGGAGAGGAAGGGAGGCCGCTCAGTGTGGTCCATTACCAAATGTGCATTATGAACTAAGCCTGGCCCCAGTTTGTGGGTAGACATTATTCGAACCGACGTATATTGAACGAATACGAAGTCCAACCCTGGACGGGGACGGTCCCATAGACGGCCCCACCTTAAGCATAATGCCGAATGAAGTCCGGAACGCATTCATTTATTTATCCATATGCGCCACCCATAGAAGCATTAACAGCGGTGCCTGTCACATGAGCATATGGAATTGAACTAATTCCTACTTTCGTGACGCGGGTTGTTGAGGAACGGTGACTTCAGGAACCTGCACAGGCATCTAGGCTCCACAATGAACACCAAGTTGCCCAAAGTCACAGGACATCGCTCAAACGCCTCCATAAAATACAAAACTCACAAAAGAAAGTAGGCAGCATAGCCCCGCAATAAATCCCCGTACACAGATCTGCACAGGAGACCCGTCTCGCGTTCTCGCGAGCTCTGTCCTTGTCCCCGTCCTCGTGTCGGTGTCGGTGTCGGTGTCGGTGTCGGTGTCGGTGTCGGTGTCGGTGTCGGTGTCGGTCCCGGTCCCGGTCTCGGTCTTGGTCTTGGTTCCGGTCTCGGGTCTCGGTCTCGGTCTCGGTCCCGGTCCCGGTCCCGGTCCCGGTCCCGGTCCCGGTCCCGGTCTCGATCTCGGTCTCCGCCTCGATCTCGGCCTTATTCTTGGTCCCGGTTTCGGTACCAGTATCGGTTCCGATCCCGATCCCGATTTCGATCCCGATTTCGATCCCGATCCCGATCTCGATCCCGATCCCGTCCAACGGCGCCGCGCATACTCACACATGTCCTCGAGGCTGCGTTGCGCCGTCCAGCCGAGCTCTTGGCGCGCCCGGCTCGCGTTGGCGAACATACTGACAATGTCGCCCAGACGGCGCGGCTGCACCAGACATGGCACCGGCCGGCCGGTCACGCGCTCAAACATGGCCGCCAACTGTTTGACAGACACCCCCTCACCTGTTCCCAGGTTGTACGTCTGCAACAGGCACAGGCGTCAAAGGCAGGCAGCGGCGCCAGCCGGCCGAACGGCGCGGGGCGTACTCACACATGTCGTCTATGTTGTAGCGCGGCTTCCAGCCCAGCTCATGCTGGCCCCGAGCGCCGTCGCAGACCAGAGTCGGCACGTCGCCGACGCGGCGGCCGGTCATCCGCCGCGGGATTCGTATGCCCGTCACGCGCTCCCAGTGGCCGACCAACTCAAATACACTGAGTCCGCGCCCCACGCCCAGGTTATAGGGCTGCCGGCACAGGCGGGCGCGCTCCAGTCACCGGCGTAAGCAGAGCCGCCTGGCGGCGGCGGCGCGCACTGAGCCGCGCAAGCGGGCGAACAGAGGGCGGGCGTGCTGGCATTCGCATCGTCCAGCGAGACACGGTCATGCATGCTCATCAGACTCGCTTCCTCAAGCAGCATATTTACAACGCGACCTACACGGCTGCCTGTGCACTGGATTCACCGGGAATTGTAGAACTAAAAATACTCTTTTATGACCCACAGATTACTTGAAGTAAACAAAAATTACACGACTGAACATTTCAGACATTGCCCCTTTGGTAAACAACCTTAAATTTCGACGCAAAGCAAAACCCAGTAATTTAGCTGCATTTACACGGAACAACTCATACCATTTAGAAGCGTAAGCCACAATCTTCCTTCATACAAACAACCGCAAAGAAATATCTGCGATGAGCTTCTGACAAGCTATTCTAAGTTTCTTCCAAGTTACTACCAGCTCACATGCCAATCACCGAGCATATAACGACCAGCACACCCGCGTAGCACGCACTACAGAGAGGAGTCCCACCACCAAGAACGATATATATATATATATATATATATATATATATATATATATATATACCGCCGCTAGCCCAACACCACCGCATTCGCTACGATAAGGCACTGAGTTTAGCAGGGAAAGGGTGATGTTTACGGCTGGGCTGGGTAAGACGGGTCAGCTGGTACGGGCAGAGCCGCGTGAGCTCAGCAGGGGAAGGATGATGTTTACGGCTGGGTTGGGAAAGACGGGTCAGCTGGTACAGGCAGAGCCGCGTGAGCTCAGCAGGGGAAGGGTGATGTTTACGGCTGGGCTGGGTAAGACGGGTCAGCTGGTACGGGCAGAGCCGCGTGAGCTCAGCAGGGGAAGGGTGATGTTTACGGCTGGGCTGGGTAAGACGGGTCAGCTGGTACGGGAAGAGCCGCGTGAGCTCAGCAGGGGAAGGGTGATGTTTACGGCTGGGCTGGGTAAGACGGGTCAGCTGGTACGGGCAGAGCCGCGTCAGCGATGCAGGGGGAATGGGACCGCGACACTGGAGTGTGCGATGTAATTCTCCTTTGTGAGTTTAAGCGCGTGCAAAACATGTGTAAATAAACAACAAATGAAGACAAATAATTTGCCAAACCAGGGACACCAGTCGAAAAGCACGTGTTATCTGCGTGATCTGTGTGATCAGGCAATCAGCAGCCGAATTTTCTCTTCCCACACGGTTATCTTACCAGGTGAATAGGTGGTGAACCCCAGTGTGGTGTACTAACCGTGCGCCTAACCAAATGCTGAGAAAAACTCTGTGGACGGACTGTAGCGTCGAGGGCGAGTGGCTAATCGTATAGATGGAGCCATGCCGATCGCAATGGGCTGAAACTTTCTGCAGAATGTTTGAAACACGAATTTCGTTTCAGTTCGATGAATTCCTTTAGTCGGCAATCCCGCACGTGCCTATCCGCCACGCGTCACACGGCGTGTGGATTGATGTTGCACTTGTGACGGATGGCCTGGTGATAACCGTGGTTTGATGTGGGAGCAGCTGGGCGATTTGCAGGCCCCGGCCCGTAATGCGGGCCGGGCACGGCATCCTGAGAACGGCAGGACTGACCCCTGAGAACGGCAGGGCTGACCCCTGAGAATGGCTGCAGGCCGGGCACGGTATCCTGAGAACGGCAGGGCTGACCCCTGAGAACGGCAGGGCTGACCCCTGAGAACGGCAGGGCTGATCCTTGAGAACGGCAGGGCTGACCGACGACGCTTTCATCGGACGTATAGAGAACAATATGGCTGAACTGATTTCAGATGGTGTGATCTCCGCAGCGGGATAGCACGTGTTATGTCTGATAAGCTTCACAATAACCCGCTTCATTTCGTGTGGGTCGTTTGCACCCTGATTAACAAGGAAGTTGTTTCAACCGAATGCTTTCAGTGCATGGAAAATCGCCATGAAAGCAAAACAGTATCGATATGAGCACAAGGTGCACTCATTCCGTGCAGCGTAGTCCGAAGCAAATCGTGACACGGGCAAGACGTGTTACCTCGACATCTCACATCAGCAGTCCCTTCATGCGGGCCGATTATCATGGCTACAGCACAGGTTGAAGAAGAGTGGACAAAATCCCCAACAGACAAACCAAACACCACGCCTATCCGATCGTAACATTGAGCGTGTGCGGGTTTCAGCTGCTTGGCAATACGATTGGAACCCATTTTGTTACGAGACAAGAGGCAGGGTTTTAAGATTCTCACCTTGTACCGAAAGTGCTCCTGGCTCAGTTTATTCAAGGCAGCGACATGGCCAGACGCGAGGTCCATGATGTGAATGTAATCTCGGACACCTGCGGAGATGAACCTATTCACAAAACGGAGACAAATGCGTTTGAACCGTGATCACTTGCACAACAATAACAGAGCCTTGTATGCCACCAGGTAAAGCTTAGGAAGACAGGCAGCTCTGACAACTGCTGACACTATCCAACCCAACACAACTACGACCAGTCAAATTGGCCACCTATGCTGTCCTTTAAGGTCCGTCAGAAGCGTCAGACCTAGGTCACCGTTATATAATAAAGGGAAACTTTGCCAACGGGTCGCTTATAGATCCAGAGCCGTCCGTGGTATGTGCGTGTATATGTATATGTATATATATATATATATATATATATATATATATATATATATATATATATATCGTCTTCTCCGAAGATGGGATAAGATCTCGAAACGTTAGAATGGAAGGCGTGATGAATATATGAGTAATTTTGTGCGAACCATCTTTAATCTAAGCGATGACGCAAAGTCAAAGGCCCGGAAACTAGAACGATGCATCAAAAAGCTCGTCAATGCTGAGTCAGCAGTTATTTTTAATCAAACATGCATCAAAGAAAGAATTCTGCCAAAATATTCCAACATAAAGCTACATGACCAGGCAGTTAAGACAGAGGGTTTTACCAAAAGGTAAAGAGAACGACTTGTGAATCACCAACTGCAGCAAAAGAAGACGGCCTGTGAAATCCTGAAGAAAAAGAGAAAAGTTTTAGAACAAGAGCTACAGGTACGTTGCCCTGAACATGAACTTAAACAAAAAGTACTTGACGAACTCGACGTGATTGAATGTGACGCTAGACGTCTTACTAGAAACAGAATCGTGAAAAAGCTCTCAAGGCTCCATGGTGGACATATAGTATTACCGGAAACTGCCGACAGTTACATCAATTTATCTCAACATGATCTTACTGAGGAACAAAAAGAGGTGCTTAATCTTGGACTCAATTGCCATGTGTTGTCGAAATATGACAAACTTAAGAAGAAAGTAGAACTAGAAATTCTTTACCAGGATATCTTGAATTTGGAAAAAGAAAACAAGGTTACCGTGGACAAGGATCTATAGAACAGCTTACTAGGAGAGAGCACGAAAAAGCGTGGAAATGATAGGAGCCAGATATTCCCGCAAGAACGCAGGACGGCGGCGAACGGGGAACTTCGAGAACAAGACGACGTCATCATCCGGCGAGCGGACAAATCATCACTCCACGTAATACTTGACAAAAAGGAATATCATAAGAAACTAGACTGCATCTTGAACGACGACAAGAAGTTCCAGCGCATCACAAAAGATCCAACAGACAAACTCCAGACCAAACTTAACAAACTAATCACTGCTGCCAATGCCGCTGTTGATGGCATACACTTTTCCAAGATAACGGGTGAATTTGCACCTGGCTATGCTTATGGGTCTGTGAAAACTCACAAAAACGGCAACCCCCTTCGTCCAATAATCTCACAGATCCCTTCACCAACCTATAGAATTGCAAAACGTCTTAATGGTCTTCTGTCCCCATATCTTCCCATGTCTTACAGCTTGTCATCAACGGATGAATTTATTGATATAGTGCGATCTCGTCAACCTAAGGGCCAACTAGCCTCTCTAGATGTTGAAAATATATTTACAAACGTGCCTATTGAAAGAACCATATCCATCATCCTTGACCGCGTCTACAATCATCCTGAAATTCCTCCTCTCAAAATATCAAGGCGCCTTCTTGAACAATTACTAAAAGCCAGCACGTTGGAAGTTCCTTTCCGCGGGCTTGATGGCCGAATGTATTGCCAAATTGAGGGTGTTGCGATGGGCTCACCTCTAGGACCTCTATTCGCTAATTTCTTTATGGGACACGTAGAAACCGACATACTACAAAATGACGACATAAGACCGGACATTTACTGCCGCTACGTAGACGATATCTTTGTAGAAGTTAGGGACATTGACCAACTAGGACATCTCAAAAACACCTTTGAAGAACGGTCTGGCTTAAAATTCACAACACAGCAAAGTGTGCAAAACGTAATACCCTTTCTTGACGTAGCTGTCGATGGACAAGGACAACAATTCAAAACGACTGTATACCGAAAACAGACTAACAACGGACGGTGCTTAAATGCTGACAGTGAGTGTCCACGACGCTACAAAATTAGCGTCATAAGGTCCTTTCTTCGACGAGCATTTAAGCACTGCTCTGATTGGACAGGACTACACTCAGAATTGACACGAATCAAACAGATCTTGGTGAACAACGGTTTTTCAAATTCTGACATTGAAAACGAGACACAACGACATATGACAAGACACTTTGACAGCAAACCAAGGCAAGACATCCAACCGACTGTCAAACTGTACTATCAAAATCAAATGACATCTGCTCACAAGCAGGACGAAAAAGCTTTACGGGAAATTATCTCTCAACATGTTAAAGGCAAAAACGACCACAAAATAGACATTGTCATTGACTATTGCAATAAGAAAATATCAAACTTTCTTATGAGAAACAGCCCACACAAAGCCGACAAACTGAAATGCACCAATGTAGTGTATCAATTCCAATGCAACATCGAAGGCTGCAAACTTCGTCCCATACACTACATTGGTGTGACCACAGCGACACTCTCACGACGCCTGACAATGCACTTACGTGACAGGGCACCTCTGGACCACATGCGACAGGAACACGACATGACATTGACACGACAACAACTGACAGACAGCACTGACATTTTACGGACGTGCAGTGACAGAAGACGCCTTCAAATTTGGGAAAGCATATTCATTAACGAACTCTCTCCGGCCTTAAACAGACAAACAAATTCTTGCAGAACTCTTGAGCCACTAGGTGGTGGGCGGTGAGCACTTCTGATGTGGTTGTGACAATAGTGTTCCCATTGTGTCTTTGTGATGTTCCCATTATGAGTGTTTCTTACATGTATGAAGATGAAAATAGCAATCCGTCTTACTTCAATTAGTTATGCTTCCTTTACTTTCTCCGTACCAAAGAGAGAGAGGAGAAGGAGGAGAAGAGAGAGAGAAGAGAGAGAGAGAGAGAGGAGACGAGAGAGAGAGAGATTAGAATGAGTGAGAGTACGAGAGACGAGAGACGAGGACGAGGAGGAGGAGAGAGAGAGAGAGATGGAGAGAGAGGAGACCCAGGAGATAGAGAGAGAGAGAGAGAGAGAGAGGGGAGGAGGAGAGAGAGAGAGAGATGAGAGATGAGACGAGGAGATGGGGAGAGGAGGAGAGAGAAGGAAAGACAGACGAGGAGAGAGAGAGGTAGCGGTAGAGCGAGATGCGAGGTGCGGGTGCGGGTGCGGGTGCGGGTGCGGGTGCGGGTGCGGGTGCGGGTGCGGGTGAGGTCGGGTGCGTGCTGGTGCGGGTGGCGGGTGCGGGTGCGGGTGCGGGTGGCGGGTGGCGGCAGTGAGGGTTCGGGTTTCGGGTTCTTGGTTCGGGTCGGGTTCGGTTCGGGTTCGGGTTCCGGGTTTCTGGTTTCGGGTTCGGGTTCGGTCGGGTTTCGGGTTCGGGTTTCGGTTCGGGTTCGGGTTCGGGTCGGGTTCGGTTCGGGTTCGGGTTCGGGTTTCGGTTCGGGTTCGGGTTCGGGTCGGGTTCGGGTTCGGGTTCGGGTTCGGGTTCGGTAGGGTTCGGGTGCGGGTGCGGGTGCGTGGTGCGGTGCGGGTGCGGGTGGCGGGTGCGGGTGGGGTGCGGTGAGGGGGTGCTGGTGGCGGTGCGTGTTGTGTGTGTGTGTGTGTGGTGTGTGTGTGTGTGTGTGTGGTGTTGTGTGGTGGTGTGTGTGTGTGTGTGTGTGTGTTGTGTGTGTGTGTGGGTGGGGTGTGGGTGTGGGGTGGGTGGGTGGGTGCGTGCGTGCGTGCGTGCGTGCGTGCGTGTTCGGCCCAGATGAGGCCAGCGTGCATGGTGCGGCGCGAGCGAACCTGCCCCCTCCGGCGACGGTCGGTTTCGCGTCGTTCTCACGGCAGACGCCTGCGCATTTCAACGGCGACCAAGCGACAAGAGAGTTCGCCAAACAACTCATTAGCAAACACCAACCAGATCAGGGGCAACAAAGCCAAACCACGCCCTCCTCCAGCGAACACTTAGAATTTGTCGACGGCCTCTTGGTCACGGCCTTCCAGACCCAAAAGAGCGGTACCAGGATGCACCCTGGCTCAGTGAGCACCTTGGCGCCGAGCTTCGCCGTTGAGCATATAAACTCTAGCGTTCTGGAGAAGCAGCGCAGCCCTGCTGGGACCTGCAAGTCTGTGGACACTGTCCTAAACCCAGAGGAAGTTATAAACTTCCCCCTGGAGCCTCTCAGCAGCCAAGAGCCGTCAGCGCTGCCACTGCCATCCACAGATCTACGCTGAGTGCAGCGTACCGTGAAGACCCTGACCCAACGACCTCGTAGAACAGTACCAGCTCCACGACAATTCGTTTCCGAGATATTTTAATGTACTACGCAACACAACACCCCGGCCTGCCTCGATTCAGCTGTTTTTCCCAGTTGCCTTTTGGCCGTCAATGTCCGGCCCCATCCGTGCGTAGTAAGACGAGATGCCAGATGCTTGCCATAAGCAGAGCTACAGAGACGGCTCTGACACCAAAGCCATACCTGCAATGAAGGGGTCATATCTATAACAAGCCTAAGGCCCTTCAGGGCTGCCTACCAGCCAGCCCTGGCACCCCCGCACCGCCTACAGTACGGTCCGCGTGTTCCCAGTGGTCTTACTTGTGTGCCCCCAGCGCCCCTATCAGCCACACATGTTGCCCACAATGTCCCCATCGGTGCCATAATGACATGTAGGTCCACACGTGTGCCGTCCGCGTGTTGTAGTGTCTCCACCAGTCCCTATCCGTGTCGTTCGACGTGTTTTAGTGTGGCGCGTTGTAGTGTCTCTTATGGCCACTACCGGTGCCGTTGGCCGTGTTTTAGTGTGGCGTGCTGTAGTGTTTCTTATGGCCCCTACCGGTGCCGTTGGCCGTGTTTTAGTGTGGCGTGCTGTAGTGTTTCTTATGGCCCCTACCGGTACCGTTGGCCGTGTTTTAGTGTGACGTGCTGTAGTGTTTCTTATGGCCCCTACCGGTACCGTTGGCTGTGTTTTAGTGTGACCATCGGCGTCCTCTGGCGTGTTGCATTGCGCCTAAGCGCGGCGTCGGGTGCGTTAGTGTTCCCGCTGGTGCCTACCAGTGCCGTCGGGCGTGTTGTAGTCTCCTCCGAACACGTTGATGTGTGGCTTGTTTCCAAGCGCCACCTGGGCAATGTACGGCATCAAGTTGGTGAAGTTCTTGGTAGGGTCCTCGCCGATACGGCCGGAGGGGTGCGCCCCCACCGGGTTGAAGTACCGCAGCGAGATGATGTTCCACTTCTGAAATTCGGGACGGGTATGTGGTCGGCCCGCACGCCGCACAGAGCTCACTGGATTGCCAGCCCCGCAGGCGCCCCCCCCCCCTCCATCCACACACGCACACACACACACACACACACACACACACACACACACACGCACGCACGCACGCACGCACGCACGCACGCACGCACGCACGCACGCACGCACGCACGCACGCACGCACGCACGCACGCACGCACGCACGCACGCACGCACGGTAGGACCCCTGCTCGACTCAGACCGTGCCGGCCCACACCGTGGCTGAAGCCCCAGCAGGCCGGCGCTCCTTACGCCACGAATGACGGGCAGCGAAACGGGATATAATCCGGCCTCATACGCGGTCTCTTCTAGCGCCCAGTGCATTCCGAAAGACTGTTGCACGGCACTTAGCATGTGGAGCACATGCACTACGTCGATGGCCTCGATATACCCATGGCCCGTCCCGGGGCGGGTGCCCAGGTCATGCCAGCGGTAGCATGTGAAGTGTTGATGAGCCGAAAAACGACGGCATAACTGAAGAATGTCTGCCGCCCAGCACACGAGTCCCGTGACTCTGACTCTAACTCTGACTCTGACGCATGTTCGCCAGCCACGCCTCGGACTGCGGGGGCGTGCGCCGCCGGTGACCGGACCGCGCGCGGCCGAGAGGCGCCGCGGCCGCATCCGCACTGACCGGCTCGGCGTGGGTCAGGTCCTTGAGCATCTCTTCGATCAGGTACTTGGTGCGGCCGTACACGTTGGTGACGTTTCCGGTGGGATGGTCCTCGGTGATGGGCAGGTGCTCCGGGTCGCCGTACACGCAGCACGATGATGAGAACACCATGTGGTACACGTTGTGAGCTTTCATCGCCTGCAGGCCCGTTAGGTCAAGTCAGACCGAGTGGGTGGATCACCGCCAGTCCGGGTGGGGTGGCCAGAGAGAAAACCGATTTCTGCTTCGGCCTCACTCGGTTTTGGATGGTTGGATCACTCGGTTTCTCGCACGCTTCCATATTTTCAGCGTGTCGCTGGGTACTGAGAACAAAGTTACCCCACAGATATGTACGAGGTCCAAATATAGAGTGGAGTTTTCAACAGTGGCAAGCGAAAATAAAACAATTTTTTCAACCGGGAACCCGTCAAAAGAAGTTTACACTGCGAGCACCGCGACGCGAACGATTGAGATAGCCAGCGTCTGTCCCACATGAAACGCGGGCGTCAGCTGCCCAATTCCTAGTGAAGGCGGCGACAGCTCCTCCCATTGGCGACCTCCGACAAAACAGGCTGCCCTCCCACGCCAAACACGCTCAGCCGAGCCCGACTTCCAAGCCCAGCGCGCCCAGATGCCTATCGGTGGGCCTGTCAGCCACGATAGCGCTGTGAACATGCAGATGCGCCTCAGCGAACATACATCACGCGGGGACAGCGGCTCAGGCTGAAGCCGCGCCTCGGCATTGAACTCCACTAATCGCCCACCTCGACAAGATTGATGGTGCCGATGACGTTGTTCTTGTAGTAGAGAAGTGGGAACTGCATCGATTCACCGACCGCCTTGATGGCTGCGAAGTGGATGACGTAGTCTATCTGGTGCTGCAACGGGGAAAACCGGACACAAGTGAGACGCAGGCGGCAAGCCACGTCAATGGTCGCCATCTACGCGCACACAAGACCAGGGATAATGCGAGACGATTGTGCATAGCCCTTAGAGTCGACTGAACCGGCCATGCCCACTAAAATGTTCACAGCCACTTCACAATGTGTTTTGCTATTAAACAGCGTGACGAAAAAACAACCTTTGAATACGCAAGACGAACAAGCTACATCAACGACAGGCAGCGAAAACCGCAACACTCACTCAGGTAAAATTATTGCGATGTTTACTCAAGTAGGCAGAGCATTTCGCGTTCACTTTAACTGACCCCCAGGAAACGATTTGTGCCAAACGGTATCGGTTTAATACCACCATTTTAACACGGTTATATTTTCCAATATTCCTCAATGTCAACTGGATTATATTATATTTCCGGTTATATTTCTACGCCCATTACTAACGCACCTGGATTGAATTCAGCTCCTCAACTGGGCGGAATTTGAGAAAGCAGACTGGGGCGGGGCAGATCGAATTTCACGTTCAGCACGTCCATTGAAAAACTTGTTAAATTACTCATCAGAAACGTAGATATGTTCCGTGGATACCCCCAGACACCATACAATAGTCACAACATTACTACACCTGCGTCAGTTTAGGAGATACCGAGATCTAGATTAATACGAAAGTAATTACACTATATTGACACAAATGCATTCATAGTCGTTGCTGGCAGCGCCTATTTGTTGCATAACACGCACATGACAGCAGACGCATTCCCGGCACGGGACATCTGCGCCATGACACTGCGTACTACAAAAGCTAATGTCTCCAGTTGGGGTCGGTCGCCGGCGTGCGGTGGTTAGCGGCGCTCTCTCTCATAGAATGCGGAGATCAGCCCAGCGGTGCGTCAGACCGCAGCACAAAGCCGGAGTCATTGCGCTCTGGGGCTCGGCCATTGGCGGCCATTAACGTTCCTGAGCCGGCCGGGCGCCGGGCTCCGGCGGCCAGCACAAAGGAGGCGCCGCGGCGGCGGCACCTGCCGGAGGTGACGCCGTCGCCTCCCCCGTCCCACCCGCCCTTCAGGCCCGGTGTCTCCTGTTCCCAGCCGACCGGCCGTGTCCGGGGACGGAAGGCGGCGCTGCGCGCAGGTAGCCCACCACCAGCCACGCGTCACCAGCCAGACAGCACCACACACCTCAGGCAGACGGGTGACTCATCACCAGCTAGACAGCACCACACATCTCAGGCAGACGGGTGACTCATCACCAGCTAGACAGCACCACACACCTCAGGCAGACGGGTGACTCATCACCAGCTAGACAGCACCACACATCTCAGGCAGACGGGTGACTCATCACCAGCTAGACAGCACCACACACCTCAGGCAGACGGGTGACTCATCACCAGCTAGACAGCACCACACATCTCAGGCAGACGGGTGATTCATCATCAGCATATGGTCATCGGTGACAATCTTGGGTCCCAACCTCGGCCACCGTGATTCAGGCATTAAGGATGGTCTGATTCTCGTAGGCGCTTCCATCACACGCCGAGAATGGTAAAGACGTTAGAATGATGATAACGCGTTAACGTAAACAGCATGTCGCCCGTGGCAGCGCATTCTTTCATTGATATTGTATCAACGAAGGTAGCAGGAAATTGTCTGATACGAACTGTTAGGACATACCTGACGATGCATTATCACGAGGAAACGGATTTTCCTTGACACCCGACTTTCTACAACTTGCCCTCCCCTATCACCCTAACCCCACTCTCTGCACAGCCCTCACAGCTATCACAAAGCAGCTGTGCCTGGCACAGCGTAAGAACCGGTGGATGGCCTTGATATCGGTGCCGACATTTCGGGACGAGCGATATCGGGTATGTAGGCCTCCACCGAGTGACGACATCACCAGAGCCGCGCCGGAAACTTTGGTCAGCCGAGTTCAAGGCAGGGGAAGGGAAGGGCGTGTCGCAACGGGTCGAGATTGGAGCGGGCCGGCGGAGCTGGCCGGTCGGCTCGACCCGCGGACTCCGCGCCCCGAGCCGCGCCCTCACACACACGCACGCACGCACGCACGCACGCACGCAGCACCCACGCACGCACGCACGCACGCACGCACGCACGCACGCACGCACGCACGCACGCATGCACGCACGCACAAAGGCTGGTGGGTGCAGACTTCACTGACATCCTCAACTGGCTGCATCTCTACTTCCACATGGTTGATGATCTTCCACGGTGATAGTTCAATTAAGTATAGTGGCGTTAAAAGCTAGGAAAAAGGTGGTGCCTAGCTTTCATTTGCTGGTTGTGCTATTTCAATAATGAGAAAGCCCACGTGTTGTCTTACTGATTTAATTCCGCCTATGCCTGTTAGCCGACCACAATGGGCAATGTCATCCTGTGGTAAGACCCTCAGAAACAGAGGCACACGACACCTACAGTCATCCTGAAGCACTCACGCTGTAACAGATAAAATAGAACACAATAACGCGAATAGCATTCGCAACTAAACTGAAGATAGATCAAGAAACGCGCCAGAAAGTGGGAGAGCCAAACCATTTTGAAGTCAGTTCTTTCAACACGTCGCCATACGATTCCCACACAGCATTGTGAGTAAGTTGGGCTTCCTTTGTTTGTGACGCTGAAGCTCGAAGTGGGCACAGTTACCTTGTCGAATATTGCGTTGACTTTCTCGGCATCGAGCAGGTCACATTGGTAGAAGGTGAGCTTCTTGCTAGTGATTTCTTCCACCCGCTTCAAAGCTGGAGCCTCCCCCGCGCCCGTGTGCCTGTGCGACGAGACAACGGGAGGAAAATGAGGGGGGGGGGGCACTCTCAACACAGACAGAGGGGCTCCTCCTGCACCGGCGTGTCTGCACGACCTGACGGGGGAGGGAGGGCTCTCCAGACAGGCAGAGGGGGGTCTCTTCTGCACCGGCGCGTCTGCACGCCTAGACAGGGCATCAGTCATCCTCAGTACAGAGAAAACACGGTGATCTCAATCACGGGCGAGTCCATAGGCGAGCAGGGGAGGCACATCGATATTTACATGTAGATAACAGCCCAGCAGGATATGTAGGACTGCCATGTGTTAATGTCGCACCCAGGCGCTTAACATTTTTGCTTGGGCACGCATACAACTTCAATACAATATCTTCTGGTGGGCAGAAAGGATGTTAAAATAGTGGAGTACAATGCACGGCATTGTGTGGGATTCCAGACACAGGGACAGAGCTTTACAACGCATTCTAGCATGAAATGCTGGCCAAATTAACACCCTCAACAGTGTCGGCTGTTACAATGCACACTATACCAGCATAATATAATATTTCGGGTCGTGAGTACTTCCTGATCCACCCTTGAATGCGGATAAAGCAAAGCCATTCGCATACCGCTCTTCTCAACAGCTGCACCAAAACACCAACACAGGCGTGCCATTGTGGACTCATCGACTGCAGACGCACGCACAAATACAGACACGAGCGGAAGTATGACCGGTAAAACGGCTACGAAGTCTGCTATGCCTACGATAATCCGCTGATATGCAAGAGTGGGCCGCGCAATACAATATTTTGGTACAGTCGATACAAAGCAATGTCGCCTGTCACCGGAATCAACGAAATGTGGCTGAAACTCCAGCAAATGTCAAAATTTACGGGTACGCAACTGAAAGCAATCAACTTACGCTTCTATTTCGACGAAAGTCGCTGGTAAGTAAGCTGACAAAAAACTCCTTGCAAAAACAAATAAACATATATGCATATATATTCATATATATATATATATATATATATATATATATATATTCATATATATACATATATATATATATATATATATATATATATATATATCAGCGTTATGAGCCTCCATGTAGGGCGGGCCTGCTTCCGTTCGGTGCTTGACGTCGAGAGGTTAACAGGTTCGATAAAAGCGGGCTGATGTTGCCGTTACAATTAATTCTAATGTTAGTGCTGTTGCCGCTACAATTTATCCACGTCATGGCAAGCGGCCCCAATTGTTGCGCCTGCAAATATCCCGCTGTTGAGCCTTTGTGCAAGGCACCATTCATAACCCCGGGCTGACACTGCAAACGATGGGCCCCACGGCTCAGCCGCTACGTGAATCCATAACACTTTGAGCACCAATGATGACCTGACTACATGGGAGCAGGGAGCGCGCACTGACCCGGAACGCAAACAGCGCCACCGCAGGTACCGTCCGGCGGCAAACAACGATACAAAGTGTACCAGGCCGAGGCCCACAAACGACCCTTCCGCCCCTGGCCCCGGATATATCGACTGCACGCGCCGCTCCTGACAGCCTTGGAACTGGACCGCGGCGTGCGACCCAGAAACAAAGCGTCCCGTCGGCGATAGGCCTGCCGACAAGCTTGGAGAATAACGGACATTGTGAGAGCCCAATCATAATACAAGCTGACAAACGACAATATACAGCATGCGGTACCTATTCCAGCTGGTACCAAACACAGATCTCATTCGACAGCAAGCATTTCTCTTGACAATAGCAACGGACTTTCTCAGGGGTCGCAAAGCGGAGGCATTTGAACATGGGAGAGGCGTTCCTTTCAGCTTTGTAATTATTCCTCACCAAACAGCGCACGCAGAGAGGCACGGGTCGCCACGACCTTGACCGCAGTTACCGAACATGGCCACCGCGCAGCCCGCGGCGTCCCCCTGGCCGCGCGACGTCCTCACCTGGAGTTGGCGAAGTTGTCGATGGCGACGACGTCATAGTCGGCCTGCAGTAGCTCCACGCAGCAGTGGGAGCCGATGTAGCCGGCGCCGCCGGTCACAAACACGCACTTCTTCGACATGTCACGGCTGATCGGGTCACCTAATGACAACAGAATGCCAGTAGCTCAGGCCCACGCTCCTCTGCGGTGCACACCGCTAGATCGAGCCACCGAACCCCGGCTGTGTCGGGCGAGATGGCCAGGTCGGTTGCCGGCACAGGCCAGGCTTGCGGTGAATGTTTTAGCAGGCGCTGGCGGAGGCCGGATGCCTCAGAGCAGACCACAGCGTACACATAAACGTAACGCCGGATGCCTCAGAGCAGACCACAGCGTACACATAAACATAAGGCCGGATGCCTCAGAGCAGACCACAGCGTATACATAAACGTAAGTTTATAATCTTCTGTTAGGTTACTGCGAAGTGAAAGGAATGTATATATATATATATATATATATATATATATATATATATATATATATATATACTGCCTTATCGACCCAGGTTATATTGCACATGACATGTGACGTCACCGAACGCAGTCTCGGCATTCGGTCCGTACATAATGTTGACAAGCCGGACGGCAAAGGTGGTGCCGTTTCCCTGCTTAACCCGAGAATGCCGTCACGGAAGACTGAGAGTGAGTGCGTGCATGTGGCCGTCGGCCGCATTACAGAGAGCAGTGTTTCGTGTAGCTCACGGGGTGCGGCATAACGTCCCGCTGGGCGGGAAGGCGCTGTGCCACTGCCCGACGTCTGCAGCCACAGCGTGGCGTCACCGCAGGGTTCTACTCGACGGGTACATTCCCACTTTGGGAGACTTAGCCCCGAATTCACGGGTGCCTTGAAAACTCAAAGTGTAAATGGGCCTGATAGCATCAGACTTTGGGTTTAACCAGAGAAAATGTCACGGCCTTTAGTTTGCACGGACAAGGCCACCATCCGGCAAAATACCGCCCGGCCGAGCGGTCAATCTGCGAGCTACGCCGTGCTTTGCCGAAAGGTGGGCGGCGGCCATTCACAACTCCAAAAACGATTGCAGCTGGGCGAGCCCAACCCTGGTGAGAGAGAGCGGCAGGCCACCGCCAGCGTAACACCGGACCGCGGCAGGCCACCGCCAGCATAACACCGGACCGCGGCAGGCCACCGCCAGCGTGACACTGGACCGCGGCAGGCCACCGCCAGCGTGACACCGGACCGCGGCAGGCCACCGCCAGTGTGACACCGGACCGCGGCAGGCCACTGCCAGCGTAACACCGGACCGCGGCAGGCCACCGCCAGCGCGACATCTGACCGCGGCAGGCCACCACCAGCGTAACACCGGACCGCGGCAGGCCACTGCCAGCGTAACACCGGACCGCGACAGGTCACCGCTAGTATGAAACCGGACCGCGGCAGGCCACCGCCAGCGTAACACCGGACCGCGACAGGTCACCGCTAGTATGACACCGGGCCGTGGCAGGTCACCGCCAGCGCAACACCGGACCGCGACAGGTCACCGCTAGTATGACACCGGGCCGTGGCAGGTCACCGCCAGCGTAACACCGGACCGCGACAGGTCACCGCTAGTATGACACCGGGCCGTGGCAGGTCACCGCCAGCGTAACACTGAACCGCGGCAGGCCACCGCCAGTATGACACCGGACCGCGGCAGGCCACCGCCAGCGTAACACCGGACCGCGACAGGTCACCGCTAGTATGACACCGGGCCGTGGCAGGTCACCGCCAGCGTAACAATGGACCGCGCGCTGCGGCACAGCTGGCATGGGCAAGGCTCGTAGGGCAGCCGACCCAAGGCAACACGGACGTCAGGAGGCAGCTGGCCACAAGCAGGCATCACGTTGGGGCACGGGTGGAAAAAGCCACGGAGTGACGCGACTCGGTTTCTACGCAACAATTGAGGGACCAATTGGACTGTGGGCACTGCGAATGGCAGCGATTGTAGGCTTTGCTGTGGACGACAATCTGCTGTTTTGAGTACGATTCCATTCAGCCGATGGGGACCACACATCCGCAGACATAATCTTGTCGGGGTGTCACAAGCAGTGGCACCCACAGACGCCTCACATCGCGTTCGCCAGCAGCAATGCCCTGCTTTAACACGCGACCGTGCACACCCAGAGCGCACCCGGAGGTGTACAAAACCGGCGTACAAAAACCCGGAGCGATGGGGGGGCATAATAGTTTGAGGTCTGACCGCCCCTGAACCCCGACGACCATTTGGCAGGCGCCCATCACACCGTCGTTCTTTGGTCGCTACAGAGCCTCTTATCTGCTCGGACGATACCAAACGACCCAATAAAAGGTTTTATTGGTCTGGGTATGACGAGCAGACTCGCGCGATCTCGCGAGCGTCCGTGGGAGCTCTCACGGAAAAAGCAGCACGAGGCCCAGATTACGTCCCCGGGAGGCAACGCAGCGCACTGACAAGACAGAGCGCGACGTCACCGTCCGACAGTTCGACATAGCGCAACGTCACTGTCGACAGCTCGACAGAACGCAACGTCACTGCCGACAGCTCGACAGAGCGCAACGTCACTGCCAACAGCTCAACAGAGCGCAACGTCGCTGTCCGACAGCTCGACAGAGCGCGGCGTCACCATCGACAGCTCGACAGAGCGCAACGTCACTGTCGACAGCTCGACAGAGCGCGACGTCACCGTCCGACGGCTCGACAGAGCGCGACGTCATCGTCCGACAGCTCGACAGAGCGCAACGTCACTGCCGACAGTTCGACAGAGCGCAACGTCACTGTTGACAGCTCGACAGAGCGCAACGTCACCGTCGTCAGCTCGACAGAGCACGACGTCACTGTCGGCAGCCGGGCCGTGATAATGCCGATATGACGCCAGTGACGCGAAGGCCAACAGAGCGCCGGGCGACGCACGGTAACGACCCCGGGTGCCAGCCCGCCGTCAGTCGGCCCGCCCAGGTCCGAACTCGCCGACCGGCAGACCCGATCTGCGCGCACGCAGAGAGGACGCGCACGCCGCGCTGCCCGAGATAGCCGTGCAGCGGCGGCGCGGGCGGCGCGGGCGGCGCGGCCGGCGGCCGGCCCGGCGTGGCCCGGCCGGCCGTGCCGGTCATTGGCCCGCTGCCCGGGGCTTCCGGGCGCGGCCGGCCGGCCGGTCTGACCAGCTGCGCCGGCCGACACCACGTGCGCAGCCCAAGGTCACGGTCGCCACACGTAGCGCCGCTCGAAAGTTCGGAGCGCACAACAGCGCTATTTGAAGATCGTTGCGACACGGGTGGGCGCGCACGTGCGTGGAAGGACTCGCCTCTGATGAGCAACGCGGAGGCCAGCTGTCAGCGATTAGCATGCTTGATCACGCAAATGAGTTCCAGCTACGGAGCAGGCCGTTTCGTCTGGCCATCCAAAGCCATCCAAAGAGCGACAGATTAGATCCTTCACCAGCGACTCGGTGCAATGAGGAACTTGCCGTGAAAAAACCCGTCTGGTGAACTGCTGGCAGTCGCGCTGTTCACCGATGACCGACCGGCTGCTGCACAAGGGAACCCGGGCTGTCACGTCTGGTGAACTGCTGGCAGTCGCGCCGCTCACCGATGACCGACCGGCTGCTGCACAAGGGAACCCGGGCTGACACAGCCGTGGGGACGCACAAGCTTTAGGCCGATTCTGGCGTGATTCTATAGACAAAGGTCGACCTTTGGCCGGTATGCCGCGTTCCTGGCGTCGGAGACAAATAGTGTCCGGCGACTAGTGGAGCAATGCCGGATTTATGAGGCCCGTTATCATGAGCCGCGGACATAGGCCCGATTTAGTGAGCCTCAAGGCTCGCTGCCCCAGCTAATACAAGTTGCTGATGAACGATGCTAGAGTTAGACGCATGAGCCACCACCAAACTCGATTTTGACAATCACTCATGCGCGCAGGCCTGAAAGGGCAAAAGTGCCATAACTAGTTATAAACTTCTTCATGGTGGATAATCCAGCTCCCCGGATGGTTTCCGTTCCCTTAAGCGCAGTTTAGAGCTACAGGGCGCAGTTTATCGTGTACGCCAGACCCCAGCAGTACATAATAAATCGCTTACCACCAACGTGCATGATCGCCCCGAGAATCGGCTTGAACGTGCATGATCGCCCCGAGAATCGGCTTGAACGTGCATGATCGCCCCGAGAATCGGCTTGAACGACGCGACATGTTTCATGCAAAGACCTAACGTTACGCCAATTTCAGAGGAAAGCATGCGCGTTCCGTTCGTGAATGTGAACGTGGTGCCAACGGGGCGGCCTTTGTTTGCTGTGGAGTATCCGGACTAAACAGGAGACAAAAACCTTCCGAACACGCAAATACGCCCGGTTGAAAAAGGGGTGGGGTGGCCTGCGTCTCCAGTGGGCTGATCATGAAGGACGGGCGAAGGAAGATTGTGACGCGACGTAGGGACCGCCACAAGAAGGCTGCAGGCGAAGGAAGATTGTGGCGCGACGGATGGACCGCTACAAGAAGGCTGCAGGTGAAGGAAGATTGTGACGCGACGTAGGGACCGCCACAAGAAGGCTGCAGGTGAAGGAAGATTGGGGTGCGACGGATGGACTGCCACAGGAAGGCTGCAGGTGAAGGAAGATTGTGGCGCGACGGATGGACCGCCACAGGAAGGCTGCAGGTGAAGGAAGATTGTGGCGCGACGGATGGACCGCCACAGGAAGGCTGCAGGTGAAGGAAGATTGTGGCGCGACGGATGGACCGCCACAGGAAGGCTGCAGGTGAAGGAAGATTGTGGCGCGACGGATGGACCGCCACAGGAAGGCTGCAGGTGAAGGAAGATTATGGCGCGACGGATGGACCGCCACAGGAAGGCTGCAGGTGAAGGAAGATTGTGGCGCGACGGATGGACCGCCACAGGAAGGCTGCAGGCGAAGGAAGATTGTGGCGCGACGGATGGACCGCCACAGGAAGGCTGCAGGTGAAGGAAGATTGTGGCGCGACGGATGGACCGCCACAGGAAGGCTGCAGGCGAAGGAAGATTGTGGCGCGACGGATGGACCGCCACAAGAAGGCTGCAGGTGAAGGAAGATTGTGGCGCGACGGATGGACCGCCACAGGAAGGCTGCAGGTGGAGGAAGATTGTGGCGCGACGGATGGACCGCCACAGGAAGGCTGTAGGCGAAGGAAGATTGTGGCGCGACGGATGGACCGCCACAGGAAGGCTGTAGGCGAAGGAAGATTGTGGCGCGACGGATGGACCGCCACAGGAAGGCTGCAGGCGAAGGAAGATTGTGGCGCGACGGATAGACCGCCACAGGAAGGCTGCAGGCGAAGGAAGATTGTGGCGCGACGGGTGGACCGCCACAGGAAGGTTGTAGGCGAAGGAAGATTGTAGCGCGACGGATGGACCGCCACAGGAAGGCTGTAGGCGAAGGACCAGGGTTAGGATATGGCAAAGCCGAGACGGGTGCGAGATGAGAGACCAGACACAGGAGTCATAGGGCTAAAAAGGAGGACTCGGAGAGTCAGGCACAAGGAAGCGATAAACCACACTGGGGAGAAGAGGGACGAAAAAGAAGAATAAAGGGAGCCATGAATGGTGAAACGCGAGGACGGAGCAAACAAGGAAAGGAAGTGCGACCACGAAGAGTTGGCTAATTACATCCGCTCCATCCCGTACCCCCATCGCCAAGTTAAATCCTGGAGCGCTCAGCAATAGCTCGTAGCATCGAGTAAGCCGTATCCACCAACTTCCCGGCACCAGGCCAGGTCGATGCCGGACGCGAGGAACACAATCATACGTCACGTCCTCTTGACGACCGGACGGACGCGGCCGCAACAGCAGGGCGGCCGAACGCATCTGGCCTCGTTTCATAATGCGAGCACGCGAACCTACGATTTAAAACAAGGCTGTGTCATACCGGTATATAAGGCGGAACCAAGTCTACACTTGATTTCGCCTTTTCAATGCGAAGTCATTCCTAAACGGGACGTGCCGGTTGGTTTAAGGTGCATTTTACCTATGATTTCATACGATGCAAAACATGAGTGCGTAGGTTTGTTGTCGTTTCATGAGACTTCGCCAAGACAACTTAAATCACAGCAAAAGCAGATTTCGAATAAGGAATAGCTAAGCTAGTAACATGCACGTGCCCACGGTTGTAGCATAAAACAAGTGGAGGCGAACATAGTTAGTCGTTCGTGGTCTGGCTGCGTCCCATTAAGGCTAGCTGATGTGTATTGGCAGCGGCGGAGTTCGGTGCGCTGAGCTGGCTGCGTCCCATCAAGGCTAGCTGACGTGTTCTGGCAGCGGCGGAGTTCGGTGCACTGAGCTGGCTGCGTCCCATCAAGGCTAGCTGACGTGTTCTGGCAGCGGCGGAGCTCGGTGCACTTCGCGGAGGTCAAGTTCCATTCACCCGCCTCCTTCAACTCATGCCCTCACCTCGCGCGAACCGGCGCCAACAACACACGAACAACTAAAAACATCGCCACACCAGACCAAAAGAATGCAGGCCTCACTGGCGCGAAAACCGCGAGGTCACCTGCCACCCCCAGTCAGAACGCGTGGCGGTGGTCGGGGAGCTCCTCCATCCACAGTCAGAACCCGTGGGGGTGGTCGGGGAGCTCCGCCATCCCCAGTCAGAACCCGTGTGGATGCTCGGGGAGCCCCACACATTGCGCCCTACCAACACTTGCCTTCTTGATCGATACGCAGAAAGCTGAGACACCTTCGGACCTTCTGCGCTGCCATTAGCTCATTATCATGCTTATGCAAAGGTCTGGCTTCAGCACGGGTGCAACTGGAGTCGAGCTGTTTCAGACTAAGACGTCAGGACCCAGGAATGCGCGCTAACCACATTAGGGTCGCAGGGGGCGGCGCGGCTCCGCCGACCAGCACCTCTTGCTGAATGCTGAACAGACTGCTGGAATTACGGCGCTACCCTCGTTCCACCGATCAACTGTTCGGTAAGCCCAAAAATCCATTTAACGCTTCACCCAAGAGCGTAATTTGTGGTTGGGAGCGCCACCAGCGTTTATCTGCGCACTCATGCTGCAAAAGTGGCACATCGTGTGTCGATCGCGCCTGCAATCGAAAATCCCGAACGCCAGCCGACCCCCTACGACAGCAGTCATTTCCCTGCCCACACTTCAGTTTGTTCGCTGAGCTGCCCACGCGACCGCCACACACGAACAACTCACACTGACCCACTCCTAGTTCACCTGCCGCTCGCACACCAGCCAGGACGACCTTCCCAGACGAATCCATGTTAAAATCCACTCTCCCAAGTTAAAGGGCTGATCATAGATCAGTTTTGATGTTTGTTGCTAGTTAACGTTTGCAGAGCCAATGCCACATTTCCAGGAAGCTGGAGTCACTCTCTGACCATCCGATTTCCGCGCCAGTGCGATTCCCTCACCTGCGCGCGCAGCAGCTCCAACGCTCACCCGCTGTCCGCGTTCACAGACTGGCGGCTAAGGCGCAGGCGCCGAGCGATCGCCCCCTAGAGCTGGGCGGCGGCCGGCCGCATACCGCGCAGTACGGGCGTCTGGCCCTATCGCGACCGCTACAAACACGACCTTGCCGGATGACACGGTGGCAGACGGCGAGCCCGGGCGTCATGGCACGGAACGTGGGGCTTTATGTTGCCGTCCGGGTACGCTCGGGACGGCGAGCCCGGAGCGTCATGGCACGAAACGTGGAGCTTTATGTTGCCGTGCGGATTCGCTCGGGACGGCGAAGCACGCTGTGCAGCGATGAGACTTTACCATTCCTCTCTATGAATAACCAGCATTCTTGCACGCATTTGTTCTTCATAGTCTAACTTGAGTGGTTCCTGTACAGCAATTCCAATAAAGGACATCCTGATGGAACAATTGGAAGGCAAAACGTGCGCCGAAAATGTTTGACAGGAATACAAGTTGACGGGAATAAAAGCCTAACCGGAACAAAGTTAAAGGGCAAGGACGGGAATGGGATCAAAGTCGGCAGGGATTAAAGCCAACCCGCAAAAAAATAGAAAGGAATACAATTGGACAGTGAGAAAAGTTTGCGAAACACTTCATATGACTTAAAGTCAGCTGGGGTGAACTCGAATCAGAAATTTCGCAAGGGATATACAAGTCGGCAGGGATGAAGTCAGATTGGAAACTAATTTGGTGCACACAGATTTGACCCGAGTGATGGTCGAATGGAAAAAAAAACGGGCAGGTAGCCAAACCTCGGCCAAGGTCGGCCTTGCTGGAACATTGTGCGGCACGGAAAACCTTTTGCAGTGCTAACTGGCGGAAGGGCGGAGACGGAATGATCCGTTGAGCTTGGCTGCATCACTTGGGTGTTGGGGGGGGGGGGGGATGGGGATAGCACAACAGGCTATCCTTGGCAGGTACCTTGTACCTTAAGATGCCCGTGCAATCTATTCGGGGCACATCGTAAAAAGAGGGTTTTAGAAAAGTCGCAATGATTGTCCGCCTGGCATGAAAGTGGATGTTGCGGACCGCACTGTGTGCCGGGGTGTTGCGGACCGCACTGTGTGCCGGGATGTTGCGGACCGCACTCGGAGGCGCCGTTGTATCCAATGGATTTCGCTTCCATGCATCCGTGGGTCCTCTAATTTGGGCCCACCCACACTCATCCGGCAAACGCTCTTGGCATGTGCCAACTTTCGAGCTTTCACGACCGAATCACGCAGAGCAGCTCCGGAGGCTATCCGGTGGTCGGTCTTCTATGGTTACCCGGCTAGCCTCTATGTATGCCCATAACATCCATTTCTAGCCATTTTCTGGGGCGGCCACGAATAACACAGGCGCCTACGGCAGGAGGCGGAGCACAGCGGCGGCGGCCGTTGTGAATCCTGTGCAGTCGTTGTTAGTCCTCGTGCTAGAAAGACACTTGCCTAGCTTCCAATATTGGTTCCTGGTTCCCACTTCTCCATAGTGGAAATGATAATTTGGACTATTGTTTCGGCTGATTATGTCAGAAGCCCATCCCTGGCTCCTGGATGCCATTGGATGTTGGACAAACACGACGAACACCCTGGCTCCGGGTTCTCACTGGCTCGTTCACAAATGAAATATAGGTTCCTGACTTAAATAAGTCTCTTCACAAAACTCACACTTAGCTACTGGTTCCCACTGGCTTTCACAAACACCACACCCATTTTTCTGGCTTTCACCAATCTTTTTTTTTATAAACACCTGTATTACATATATATATATATATATATATATATATATATATATATATATATATATATATTTACATGTATGTATAATATATGAAACCTATGTACCCTGGTTCCTGGTTTGTGCTGATGTTTTGGTACCCACTGGTAAAGTATTCTTTTTTTAAATCCCTGTCGAGTTTTTCCCTTTTGGCTTCTTCCGTCGCGATTTTTATCCTCGTCAAATGTTTGTCCTTCTATTTTTTCTGATTCCTTTTTCCGTCCTTGTCGACTTTGATCTCATTAAGCTTTTCGTCCTTCGGCCTTTTTTCTGTTTCGATTTTATATCTGACGACTTATATCCCTTTTAACAGTTTCGCCTCCGCCTTTTCCGATTTCATTTTTATCCCTGTAGAAGTTTTGTCTGTCGGGTTTTTCGTTTGATTCTTGATTCAGCTTTTTCAGTTGACTTTTTGTCCGAACACAATCTTATGGAATCGCTGCAAAGTCTATTAACCACCATTCCCTTACGCCAGCCCTGCGGAAGTGCCACAGTGTTAAGAAGCTGTAAGCGCTGGCAGAAAGAACTGCAAACTGTTGGCGTGGTGACTGCGTAAATGATCGGCTTTCAGCATTTTTTAATAAAGTCAAAACTATGTGCAGCTTTGATGAAACTCGTGGTGCAAGCCACTGCTGCCATTCCGCAGTGGCGATATCATCCACCGTAATGCACTTGTAGAAATACCTTTAGGGGTTGCTTTTTTGCTCATGCCAGAGATCATAAGAATTAAAGCCAGAAGTACGCCATTATTGTTTAGTGCTGCCTGTACGCGCCTTTCGCAGGGAGGTACGTCCATGTCGGTCCAATCGCGGTTTCTTTGCCTGCAAACACACTTCTGCGATAGACCTTGGACCGCGACCAACATGCCACACCAGGCAAATGGCTTGATATGGGTAATACCGCGCATGATGTAACTAAGCAAGATAAGAGTCTGGCGGGTTTCTCAGACTACAGTTCCTTGCCTCAAGCCTCAAGGGCTTTGAAAAAGGTGCCCACAGACGGCAGCAATGTCTGATCCGTCGAAGCCAGTCTGGGTCTGACCTTCCGGAGTCGGGCATCACAGTCTCCGGCACAATCTTGGTGACTTGTAGGCTGTAGGTACTTCATAGGTCAAAGGACACTGCCGAGGCAGCCACTCATGGTGCGCTGGTGCCAGTCGTTAAACATCCACCTGGGTTTTGGGATCCACCGAACACGCTAGAGGTTGAGTGTCGCCATAACATTCTTAGTTTGTACAGTTGGAGGAAGCGTGTTGCCATGTCTTTCTCGGTGTGTCGCATTGCTTAAAAACAGCACTTCACATTTCGCGACGTTGAAGCAAGCATCAGATATGCTGAAACTAGCTCACTTCTAACTATTGGTTAACTTTTAAAAGGAGAATATTGCTCTAGACAGTACAATTTTCTGTTTAGTAAATATGCCCCGCCACGTGTCATGGTTTGATTACGTCATCGTACCTTGCAAAACATTGATTGAGAGCCAATTGGCCGTCGTTTTATCTGGAAATCGTGCTCACAAACGTCAGATATGAACGCCTCGACAATTATGTTTTTCTTGGCTTTGTTCAGCGCTTGACTAATGGAATGGCAGAATTTGAATGACGTTTTTATGACGTCATGAATGCCACGGTGGCTTTGAAATACTCTCCCCGGCATACTTTTCCCTATTTTCGCGGACGTGTAGCTTAGAAACTAGAGGGGCTTAGGTTTTCCGAATGCCAGGATTGTGAACAGCGCCGAAAGGTCTTCAAAATGGCTCTTTCAGTTCAAAACCCCACACAAATAGAGACACTCTCTTTAAGCACTCAGAGCTGCAGTCAGCGCGTTGGTTCGTGTACGTAACAAGCTATTGAGGTTGTCAAATAGTCATTGTGGGCCACCAAGCCGTCTGCTGGTGGGCACCGTCAGACAATCATGAGTGGAGGCTGTGGCTAAAGCTGAGGCAGTGAGGGACCTCCAAAACATAAACCTTTCAACCAACTATGTCCCATTCACGCTTAAAACGCGAACAAGATACTCTTTAAGTGTCGCCAGACTGCCCATTGCTGTCATTGGGCATGTCCCAGCATATCATCTGCGCAGAAAGGGAACACTCGCCCAGGTGTCTCCCATTCGGATACGCCCCTGCATATACATCTTGATGTCATCGACCCTCAATTGGCGCTGCCGACTGTATGTTGAGATCGTCAGAACGTTCATTGATGACTTTTTCTGTTATCATCAGACCGCCCACTGTACCTTACCACCAATCATTTATTGGTTTGATCCATTGCCAACATCAGATTATCTACTGATATTGTCACCTTCTTGCTAGGTGACCGATGATATCTCATCATACCATCTGATGGTTCCGTCTGTTGGCACCGACATACTGCTCAGTCAATATGGGATGCTAGTCGTGAGTGGACCAGCGAGTCTACTATTGGTGCCTATGGACGTCATAACCATCCACATGTTACTAAGTCAGACTCAGTTTTGGTGCCATTTTGTATGGCTAAAATATATAAAAGCGTGCATTTACGCAAAAGTTCCTGAGGTCCAAAGTCCTTCGACCCTTGTCGTGGTTGCGCCCTTGTTGGTGCCCATCTGACTGTCCACTAACATCGGCCTAACGCCTGCTGAGGTCGCCTGCCGCCAGTACCAGTGTCGTTTGACAGCATCGGGTTGTAGCCGGCGCCTCCTGCCGGAGTCGTCCGGCGCCTCTCCGGTGCCCTCCGCTCGGCGCTGCACGGATGGCCTGCGGTGCTGTCGCACCAGTCGATCAGTGTCGACCGGTCGGCGGTCAGGGCGCAGGTACGGGAGAAATGGAGCAGCCGCCGGGGGCGATTGCGTCATCAGTCATCGGTGACCAATCGGCGGGCGCGCGCTCGAGGGCGGCGGCCGATTGCCCCAGCGCGGCGCCCAACCGCCGGAGGGCTCGCGCGGCGGCGGCAGGCGCACCGTCCTGCTGACAACGCGACGGTGGGGAGAGGACTGACCAGACAGCAGCCGACGCCACAGCCTCGCCACGGACAGATCCTCACCAGACGCCACAACCAGAGCCGACGGTGGGGAGAGGAGCGACCAGACAGCAGCCGACGCCACAGCCTCGCCACGCCAGAGCCTCACCAGACGCCACAACCAGAGCCGACGGTGGGGAGCCGACTGTCTGGTCGCTCCGACCAGACAGCAGCCGACGCCACAGCCTCGCCACGCCAGAGCCTCACCAGACGCCACAACCAGAGCCCCACCTGCTCAGAGTGACGCCAGCCTACAAAGGGGTTGGCCGGTAAATGGAGGG